ATTTTCCTACCTCCTAAGCAAGGACTTGGTTTGCTACACGTCCAACACTGTATTATGGTCGGTCAACAGTGTGCGGATGATGAATCAGCCCTGGCCCCACCTGTGTGGGTGATTTGTTAGGCAGAGCATCTAGTTCTTGGTAGCACTTCTGTCACTACAGAGGGTTAAAAAAAAGAAAAAGGGTGGGAGTTTAAGTGGAAGAGAACCTTCTCACACCACTGCCTTTATTGCTTCTTGGTACTAGGGTTTTTAAGAAACTCCCATTTGCAGACACTAAAAACAGAAAGTGATCTAGGATCGAAAGATATTTTTCTGTCTAGTTATGAGCCTGAGGATGGGCTGCCTATTAGTAAATGCCTTGGCTGCAGGCTGCTGGGCCTTTGCTTCAGCCCCTCTGGGAGCTGATCACCATGCTAACCCCGGGGCATCCACCTCAGTGCCTCCCGAGTCTCCTGGAGAACAAGAAAACGCAGGGGACACCTCACCCTAAATACAGACTTTCTGGCTCTGTCCGAGAGTTGAAACACAATAGGGCGGTTATTAGGATCATAATAGCATCTGATTGCCATTCAAGAAGGCAGCAGTGGACAGGGCTCCCTTCCATAACCGTTCCAAAATAGGCCAGTGTCTTCCCACTCACCCCCACCAAACATGACAGGTGCTCCTCATCTGCTTTTCCCCGTAGAGGATGGGGTGAACTTCACCCCAACGTCCAGTTTATCAGCAAGCCTTGTTAATACTGTCTTCTAAAACATCCCAAATCCATTGACTCCTCCATCTCCATTGCTTCCCATCCCTGCTCCCCCCCAATCCATCTTGGAGCCTGATTCCTGCTCCAGCCTCTTCACTGGTCTGCCTGCAACTATACCTCCCCCCACTACAGTTCATTCTCTCCTCCTGCAGGCTGAGTGAGCCTTTCGAAGTGCAAAGCCGATAATGCTACACCTGTTGAAAGCCGTCCAGTGGCTTCCTATCACCACTGGAATAAAACTCAGGCTTGTTACCAAGGTCTTCACAGGGCTCTCTAAGGTCCACTGTGAATTGGCCTTCCCTAGTTGTCCAACCTTATCGGTCCTTCTCCCCTGTTGCTTACTGTTCCCGGCCACACTGCCCCTTCTGTCCCTCACACGTCCTGCACCTTTGTACTAGCTCTTCCCTCTGCATTAAATGCTCTTCCCCTGTATTTCTGCTTTGCTGGCTCCTTTTCATTCAGGTCTCAGTCCAGATGTCAAAAGCTCAGAGAGACCATATCTGACCACCAGAGCCAAAACGCTGCCTCCCTCACTTTGTCCTATTTTCCTGTAATTACCTAATTAGTTCTGTTCACACGTTTGTCACCAGCTTCCTCTCCTCAAATTATAAGCTCCATGAGAGTAGGAACTTCTGTGTTGCTCACCTCTGTATCGTCAGCACCTAGAAGAGTGCCTGGAACATAATAGGTGCTCAGTAAATACTTGTTGAATTTAATCAGTTAATACAGAAAGGATGCTTCATTTAGCAGAAATGCCTTGCACAGAATCAATCAATCAATAAGAATAAATGTTATTGTCAAAAACAGCGGGTGGATGCACAGAAGAGAGAGGGACTGGCGTTCCACTCGGGAGTGGAGTACCTCCTATGCTCTGGGCTCATCCGGTTGCCAGAACTAATTGGGGCAAGAGGGGCAGAAGGAGCCATCAAGTGAGACAGCAGAGCTTAGCTGTCATGATTTCGGGTGCCCATGCGGGCATTCAGGCTGACTGACCTGACAGCACCAGCCCATCTCTTCAGCAGCTAGGCTTATAAAATAATCACTACCCACTGGTAAAAGCCTTGCCAGAACCTTCAGATTGCCAAGTTCTGTCCCTTTCCGCCGGTATTTGCCAACTTCGCTTAGCATTCAAGGGATTTTATAAAGTTCATGTTGTAATCAAGAGACCAAAAGAGGGTCTGGATGGATGGATATAGAGAGAATACTGGCCTGTGTGGGGGTATAAATGGTTGTCTCTGGTCAAAAAAGTACCAGATGGATGGGGCGCCTCAGTGGCTCAGTTGGTTGAGCATCTGACTCTTGATTTTGGGTCAGGTCATGATCTTGGGGTCCTGGGATCGAGCCCCCAGTCAGGCTCTGTGCTTGGTGGGGAGTCTGCTTGGGATTCTCTCCCTTTTCCGCCTCCCCACCCACTCTAAAGTAAGTAAACAAATCTTAAAAAAAAAAAAAAAAGTACTAGCTGGGAGAAGGGGAGAGGATGTGGAGGGGCCTGGAAACCTTAAGACAAAGGTGTCTTTGGATGACGTGAGGAGTCCTGAGGGCCTGCAGCGTCTGCAGTGCTCGTGCCTCTTGTGGGCAGGGGCCATGGAGCTGTATGCCATGGTGTGCGCACCTGGCCGATCACAGCCTGGGCCGTCCTGCGCCAGGTGCTAGAGGTAAAGCCAGGCCTGCTGGAACATTCTAACAGCACCAACAAGCTCAGCCAACAGCCCCTGGAGTAGGTCTCAACTCCTGAGCAGGGAAAAGCCAAGGTCACAGGGGGAAGGGAATGGGGTGACTGGTCTGTGGGTACTGATTTGTGTTTGCTTTTCTTCACAGCTTGGGAAAAAGAAGAAAAAGTACATGCCATACAACCACCAGCACAAATACTTCTTCCTGAGTGAGTGTCCTCATCCAACACAGAGGGACTCTTGGGATGGGGGTGCTGAAGGGGTGTCAGGAAGAAATGACTTTCTGAAGGATTATGGTATTTAAGTGAAGACTGGAGGAAGTACCCTGTCCCTGACTGGTTACTCCCTGCATGGGAGCAGACTACCGTCTCAGTTGAGCAAAGTTAACAGGCTAATATTTGGTCGAGCGTCATGTGTATTGGGGCAGAGGAGTTCCTCTGGTCTCACCCTGGCTTCCAGAAGAGCATTGAGCGGTCAGGTACAGCCCTCGTGATTAAACCTTAAACCTTGGGAAACAGACTTGGGCCAAGTTGACTCTGTGGGGCAGTCCACCACCCAGGGGGATAAAGGCAGACATGGCTATGGGAGGACTGGACTCAAAAAGTGGAAAGGCTGTTAGAGCTGAAAAGGAGTATATTTCTGTGGTTGTCTTAATAAGCTCTCTCTGAAGGCTGTTCTATATTCCTTGCTTTTAAAAGCTTCCTAATGCCTAAAATTGGAGTTTTCAAATTTTTAAAGGAAGGGAAAGGAGGATTCCATTGATCCCATTTTAGTTGAAAGGGATTTATCCTCACTGCCTATTATGAACCATCACTACTGGAGAAAGGGGATGGGGTAGAAGGGTAGAGCAGAAATGTCTGGAAGGATTTTAGAATCCATGGCACATCAGGATAGAGGAGCCGTAGGTGAGCACGGTCGTGCAGGGGGTTATAGGGAGCTTCAGGGCCCTGCAGAGAAGGGACACAGAAAAGGAAATGGGACAGCATTAGGACGGGACCACTTCTTCAAATCCCTTCCCACACCTACCCTCCAGGGCTTCAGGTTGGGCGGTACAAGCTCATTTCCCTAATCCAAGGAAGTAAGCTTTCAGCCCACTGAAGCATCAGCAGCCCCACCCCACCCCACCCCAACACACGCACGCACACTTTCCTGCTCCTGCCCCTTCGCCTGCAGGCAGAGCATCCAGGAACGCAGGGCAGGTGACTGCAAGGCAGGGGCAGGCCAGGGAACACGGGGGAACCCGCAGTGGCCTTCTAAAGGCTTGGCAGCACAGCGGCTTCCGCGCACGGAGCTCGAGAATGGAAAGGAATGCCACTCCCACCCTCACCCTCCTGGCATCCTCTTGGGGGGTTTTGCCTTCTTCAGACTTGCACTCATGCCCACCTTCGGGGCCTGCCGGTTCCAGTGGAGCGAGGGATGCCAAGGCAGCTGGAGGGGCCACAGTTAGAGACGGCAAGGGGGCGGCCCCACGCCGGAGGCCGCCTCCCGGGCACTGGACTGCCCTCACGCTGCTCACACCTCCTCCCTGTCTCCATTTCCTTCCCAGTTGGGCCCCCAGCCTTGCTGCCTCTCTACTTCCAGTGGTATATTTTCTATTTTGTTATCCAGCGGAAGAAGTGGGTGGTGAGTACCCATGGCCCCCAAGTTCCACATCCTTTGTCTTCAGAATCTTGAGGGAGGGGAATGGGGGTTCTCCAGAGGAAAGCTCACTGAGATTTACTCCAGGCCTAATTTAGAGCAAAGTTAATAGAACTGAGTACAGACCTTCCTTGTCTCTAGATGGGATGATCTGGACTCAGCAGACAGCCTGACTCCCAACGCCCTATTTCTTTTTTTTTTAAAGATTTTATTTATTTATTCATTCATTCATTCATGAGCGAGTACGCACACACAAGCAGAGGGAAGGGCAGAGGGAGAAGGAATCTCTCAAGTAGACTTGGTGCTGAGCATGAGCATGGAGCGCCAGGCTCAGTCCCACGACCCTGAGATCATGACCTGAGCCAAAACCAAGAGTCGGATGCTCAACTGACTGAGCCACCCAAACCACCCCCCCCCCCACCGCACCGATGGCCTATTTCATTGAGCTGGTACCACCTGAGTTCTTGTGCTTGTCATAAAGCCAAGAGCCAGGCTTGGGGGTGGGGAAGAGGTAGACGCAGAAGGTTCTAGGATTCCAAAACGGTCTTGCCTGCCTCTGGCTGGATGAGGGGCATTAGAAAAGGCTTTGTGAAGTCACTTTTGTAGCTGGGCCTTGGAGGATAGGCAAAGGTGGGGTTGCGGGGGGATGGACTCTGAGCAGAGAAGCTGGGAAGTGAGGGGCAGTTTTGGTCACTTGGACATGCTGTGGACTTGTGCCAGGGGAGAATTGTGGTGCAGAAGAAGTGCTTGATCAGGACCCTGGCACAGACCGAGCCTCTGTCCTGGAAGATTCATTTGGCAGCATGATGAAGGGATAAAGAACTTTGATGGGTTGGGAGGAGCTGGAGGCAGGGAGACCCCTGTAGGCCTTGGCACCTGTGAAGGAAACAGGCAAGGAGGACAGGGGGCCCCCGCCAGGAACGGAAGGAGGAAGTGGGGTGGCATGAGATACTGCAGGACCGGGCGACAAAGAGAAGCTGACGGTGACAGAATGTTCCACTCTGGGTTCCTGGCAGAGTGGCTGTACCACGCAAATAGGTGAAATGAAAGGAAGAGGAAGAAGTGCTTTGTGCCAGTCATCATGCTCTCTGCCTCTCAATGTAGGACTTGGCCTGGATGATCACCTTCTATGCCCGCCTCTTCCTCACCTACGGGCCGTTTTTGGGACTGAAAGGCGTCCTGGGCCTTTTCTTCCTGGTCAGGTAGTATGTGATGGGGAAGGAGGGGTGGCAAAGAAAAGCTGATGTTTGGGAATAATGAGTCTGGTCTGGGGGCTGTGCTGGGGCTTTAGGCGGCAGAGGGTGTCCCAGGTGTTGGCTTGGGCAGATGGCCAGGCCAGGGGTTATCTGAGGGAGAAGAGCTCTCACTTGTATTATTTTTGTCTGTGTACCATATCCACCAGGTTTCTGGAAAGCCACTGGTTTGTGTGGGTCACACAGATGAACCATATCCCCATGCGCATTGATCACGACCGGAACATGGACTGGGTCTCCATCCAGGTGAGGGACGGTCACTTGGAAGATCTGGGGATGACACAACTAATGAAAAAGGCGGGTGGGCACAGATGCAGGCTAGGGGGTGGGCGTCCCCAAACAGCACTGCCTCATTAGCTTAAAGGTTCTCTCCTGCCACCATGTGGAGAAGGGAGTGACCAGGGACCGTCCCACCCCCCCCTTAACCAGCTTTGCCTGGAGAAGGCTGGGTTGGCCTCTCCATCTGGCACCCGGAGCCACGCTCTCCCCTGCCCTCTTCCTCCAGCTCCACGCCACATGCAATGTCCACAAGTCCGCCTTCAATGACTGGTTCAGTGGACATCTCAACTTCCAGATTGAGCACCAGTAAGTAGGGGGACCTGAGAAGCAGGGTCCTTGGGAGGGTCCCTACGGGGAAAGTGGGGAGGTGGAAAGAGCAGGGTAGGGCCACTGACGGTCCCATTCTCCCTGAAGTCTTTTCCCCACGATGCCGCGACACAATTACCATAAAGTGGCTCCCCTGGTGCAGTCCCTGTGTGCCAAGCACGGCATAGAGTACCAGTCCAAGCCCCTGCTCGCAGCCTTCGCCGACATTATCTAGTGAGTACCTGAGCCTGGGGACAGGGCAGGCACTGGGGTCGGTGCTGTGTGGGGTGGGAGCAACAGGCAGGGTCCCCCTGGAATGGAGGCCACCAAGACAAAGGCAGGGTGCTCTGCTGGTCTTGCAGCCAAGTCCGGCCTTTGTTCTCAGTGCCATGGCCCGAGCTAGTTCTCAGAAGCAAGCGGGAGGAAAGGGGCCATATGCCATGGAGATTAGCCTCCATTCCTCTGTAAGAGCCCCACTACATGTCTGTAGGGTGGTTTGGCTTTTGGGCCTGGCTCTGCGTGTGCGCTCACTCCCTCACTCTCGCTTCCTGCTCCCATCTTGCCCCCACAGCTCCCTGAAGGAGTCTGGGCAGCTCTGGCTAGATGCCTATCTTCACCAGTAACACCTCCCCACCCCAAATCTGGAAGAGATGCCTGTCTTCACTGATAATACCAGCCCACCTGGAAGAGGAGTTTCTGGCACCAAAGCAGAGGGGGGCTTGAGGGACAGTGCCACTGTAATTATAATATTCCGGGGGGGGGGTTGAGGAGATAAAGGCTCAACTCAAACCCTTCCCCTTTATCTTCCCGGCACAGATCTAAGACCCAAATGGCTAGGGGGACATGCATGCCCCCTGGAGGGAGGGAAGGAGCTATTGGGGCAGAGATGTGGGAGTTTACTTTGCTTTTTCTAGTTTGGCAGATACAGATGCTTGGTGAGCAAAGAGGGAGTCAGAGGGTGTTGGAAAAATAGGGAGGACATACTGAGCCCCAAAATCAGTAAGAGATTTAGCATTAAAATTCCAGCCAGGAAAGGGGTGAGCCCATCTCACTGGTTTGCTTCTCAGTGCCTTCGCCACCCTCTACTATCTGAGGAGATAGAGCAGCTGAACCTTCCAAGCAAGATTTAGATTTGAGGCCTGGCATAGTGCACTGCCTGGGAGGCTCAGCTCACTCTAGGGCTAGGTGAGACCTAGGTCTGCCTCAGGCTCCTGGAGAAGCAGTTTTCCCACTTCTAGAAGCAGGCAGAGCAAAGCCAGGACTGTGGTGCTGGAGACATCTGACTTTGAAGGATCCTGGCATTATCGATTTTGAGCTTATGTTCCATCCAGGGCACCCAAGGTGCATTAGGTCATAGTTCTTGCCAAAATAGCAAGGAGAGTTACTGGCCATTCAAAATCCCCTTCACCTTGGGATCACCTCTTGTAACCACCACTCAAGGAACAAGACACTCCTAGGATGGGAGTCCACTTCTTGATTCTTCATCCATAAACAAGTGAACAGATGGGACTTCTTCTCCCTAAAAACAAATGGGGGTTCCCAGTGCTTTCCCTTTGTCTTCCTACCTGTAATTCCACGTTTAACAAAGTAGTTAGCACAAGTGACCACGTTGGGAGACCCTGAACTACAGTCCTAAAGAATATAGTGGTTGTTAAGAAATGTTCTACAACCTAATTATGTTACAGTATTACTTCTGAGTGGGAACGGTGAATTAAATATGATCACTTCACAGTTCTAAACCAGAGATAGGAAGATAAAAACAGTTTGTGAACTGTCAACTCTGTTCAAGCATCTTCTCGGCTGGACACCAGGTAGGAATTTAGGATAATCTCTTAAAAAGCCTATCCATCTAGGACTCTGAAAAACAAACTGAGGGTTCTGGAGGGGAGGGGGATGGGGGGATGGGTTAGCCTGGTGATGGGTATTAAAGAGGGCACATTCTGCGTGGAGCACTGGGTGTTATGCACAAACAATGAATCATGGAACACTACATCAAAAATTAATGATGGAATGTATGGTGATTAACATAACAATAAAAAATTTAAAGGGAAAAAAAAGGCCTATCCATCTAATACTGAAATACAGTTTTTTAAGAAGAAATCTCCTGGTTCTTAAAGGTAACAGTTTAACCCATCTCTTAAGCAAACAAAGGAATGAGCCCAGGAGTCTTGCCTTAACCCCCAGGGCTTGTCATCTGCATTCACACCCAAAGCCAGCCTTCCCGCCAGGTGAGGGGGTGATTTGCCTGTTCAACAGCACCTACTCTTAAGCATAGGAGCATTTTGGATATGGAGAAGAGGAAACTCAAACTAGAAGGAAAAAGCAGAGCCGTAGGAGAGTCCACATGTCGTTGTAGGAGAGAATAAAGGTGATCTGAAAGTGAGCTTCCATGGGGTTAGGACACCACTTGTGGAAAGGCTGTGGGGATGACTTAGAGGTTTGTCAAAACAAAGATTAAGGAGATAACGGGCAGGACGGGTTGCAAAAGAGTTCAGCTCGGGCGCCTGGGTGGCTCAGTTGGTTAGGCGACTGCCTTCGGCTCAGGTCATGATCCTGGAGTCCCAGGATCGAGTCCCGCATTGGGTTCCCTGCTCAGCGGGGAGTCTGCTTCTCCCTCTGACCTTCCCCCCTCTCCTGCTCTCTCTCTCTTTCTCATTCTCTCTCACAAATAAATAAAATCTTTAAAAAAAAAAAAAAAAACAATTCAGCTCTTCTCCATTTGGGCAGAACCTGGTTTGAAAGAGCCTGGGTAGAAAGACTAGAAGCAGGACTGAAAAGTTCTTTCATGGGGCGCCTGGGGGGCTCAGTCGTTAAGCGTCTGCCTTCGGCTCAGGTCGTGATCCCAGGGTCCTGGGATCGAGCCCCACATCTGGCTCCCTGCTCGGCGGGAAGCCTGCTTCTCCCTCTCTCACTCCCCCTGCTTGTGTTCCTGCTCTCGCTATCTCTCTGTCAAATAAATAAAATCTTAAAAAAAAAAGAAAGAAAGAAAAGTTCTTTCATTGGCTTCCTTGCTCCAGAATAGGTGCCGATCCTGCCCCATCCCTCTGGTCCCTACTACCCAAGGTTTAGGAGTTCTGTCACCAGCCTGTCAAGCCATCTGGCTGCTAATCTGAGCAAACCCAGTGTGGCTAACTGAGCCAAGTCCAGGTCCTCAAAGCACTTCAACCACTGCGGACTTCTTTCCTTAACCTAGACCAGTGAGGTCTCACATGGCCACAGAGGGACACATCGGTGACAAAAAGGCTCAACACTGTTTGAACAGCACAATGAGTGATCTCAAATCCAAGCAATGACATGAGAAAACAAGCTTAAAGAAGACAAGTCACCTCCAGTCACAGATTGTGGCAAAACATCTGAACTCAAGTGTTTTTAAAATTCCAACATACATGTTTAACTTTGTTAGTCTCATCTTCCCACTTTACTGGAAGCACTTTCTTTAATTAGGCCCCACATCTGTATCCTTTTTGTGTGTGCCAATTTTGTTACCACATCCAGACAAGGAAAGATGAAAAGTACAGTTTGACCAAACAAAGGCTATTCACTTATAATCCACGATTTTCTTCTGCACATGTCAATGGGACTCCCCATGCCAGTGCTGTAAGTTACTACCTACCTACCTCTATGGCTGGAACCTTCTGACCAGGAGTTCCCAGACTCCTTTGCAAAGGGCTTTGGGCAGAACATCGGGATCCTCCGAAAGAACACCAAGGCACAGGTAGGCTATGGCAAGGAAAAGCAAAGCCAACCCCTTCTCAGGACCCCTGTATGTTCAGGTGTTAGACTGCTCAGTAACACTAGCCAGGTGTGCATGCGTCTCCTGTCATGAGGCAATACCCTCACCCTTTCGATCTTTTTGTTTCTAGTCTCAATACGGGTAGTCCCTAAAAGTCTACTGTTTTGCCTGAGTCTTTCTCTGCAGGCGCAATGCTTCAGAGTGGGACTGCAAAGCAATGCCTTTTAACCCCAATCCTGCTAGGACAGCTCCCTTTGAGCAATAACATGAGAACATGCTAGGTAAAAATTTGCAGAACTGGTTTTCCCTGCAATGTGCAGTGGTTAATAAACTAGAAAAGACCAGACAACTCAACTTGAAAAAACAAGAGGAGGGGTGCCTTGGTGATTCAGTTGGTTAAGCATCTGCCTTTGGCTCAGGTCATGATCCCAGAATCCTGGGATCAACCCCCACATCAGGCTTCCTGCTCTGAGCATCTGCTTCTCCCTCTGCCCCTCCCCCACCCTGCTCATGTGCACATGCACACTCTGAAATAAGTCTTTTAAAAAAGAAAAGGGGCAATTAAAAGAAATTGTTTAAAAAAGGGGCGCTTGGGTGGCTCAGTCGTTAAGCATCTGCCTTCGGCTCAGGTCATGATCCCAGGGTCCTGGGATCGAGCCCCGCATCGGGCTCCTGGCTCAGTGGGAGCCTGCTTCTCCCTCTCCCCCTCCCCCTGCTTGTGCTCCCTCTCTCTCTGTCTCGAATAAATAAAAAATCTTAAAAAAAAAAAATTAAAAGAAAAAAAAAACAGGAAAACCACTCTACACGTCTGACTACTACAGGGCACAAGCCCTTAACTAGAGCTACAGCACTGAGACCATCACTCCATAAGAAGTCTTTCCACCTCTGGGCCCCAACATCATTACCACAGACTTAGATTACTTGGCACTCCCCAAAAGTTGTGTGGCTTAGTCCAATCTGACAAAACCCGTTCCATTCAACTGATGGATACAGCAGTGAACAACACCAAGATCCCTGCCCTCAGAATAGAACTGTCTACACCAGTGGTTTGGGAGTCCCCTAGTTATATGAGAGCACTGTTGGGGAGACTGTCCCACTCCTGCTTCAACCAGAGAAGCTCAAATCCTGAGGTTCCACATAAAATTTCACTTGAAAAATAGGTTGCTCCATTAGAAATTCTGAAAACCACCAGTCTTTAGTCTACCCACTTAATCTGTTAGAATATTAGCAGTTTAAATTTCAGGTTGCTTAAGTGTGCCTGTTAACTTCAAATGGCAGTGACAGGAATGCTAAAAAATTAGAAACTCCCCACCAAGTTTTATCAGGATTATAAAATTTCTAAAACATTCCATCTCTATGGGAAACGGCGACCCGAATTTGATGTCACAGAAGGAGCATGAAAGTTATTTCTGAAGTGCAGTTTTTTCACAATTTATAAACTGGTAAGGTAAAAGCTTGGATGCTATGAAGTAGTTGATTGAAACTGTGAGGCTCTCTCAAAGGAGCTCCTTTATCTCACACAGGAGGTGGGAAACTAGAAACCCATTCAATTTATTAAAACTTCTTTCCTAGTTAAACCAGGCATCCTCCTCCAAATGGCTGAAGTACTGCCAAAGCTACTTTAGCCATTCTATGGGGTGTGGCGCCATCTTGTGGCCACTCTCAAACCTCTTGTAACGGTACAATTCTGGGGTGTTCTCTTCAGTGCGCAAAGAACATTACACTGCCTGAAGCCTGGGGACGCTCGAGATGTTTTCAAATGTTCTCAGAGAACGTGACAACCTGGTTACTTTTATAATTTTATTGACTTTTCTCATATCTTTAAAACAAAACAGCACATGAAAATAGCATCTTATCCCAGTCTCAACTCAGTTGACTGCCTCAGAGAGGACATTAGAATTTCGCCATCTTATGCCCCTAAATAACCACTGTGAAGACTCAAGTTACATAGCAAGTTCAAGTTTCTGCCCACCCCAGGACACATAACCAGTAATCAGACCCTTACTGCCAACTCCAGCGACTCTAGCTCTCCCTGCCTATCTTAGTTCTCAGCACTCTCCGCATCTGTTAAGACTCAGACTTCCTGACGGCTGTCTCACAGGGTGGGTCAAGGCTGAGCCAGAGAGAAGTGCAGTCTGGTTCCACCACCCACTCCCATCAGCCACCAGTTGGCCAGCCAGGAAATCATTTTTGTCCAGCCTGCTATCTCTACCGTTTATCTCCCACTCCCTCTTCAAAACTTGTTGCTATCCCTTTCATTTAACAATAGATTCAGTGTCCGGTAAATTGCCTGAGAGGTGTTTTGAGCCTGACATACTTTCCTGAGCTAAAAGAGAAAACAAAGTAGCTCTATGGCGTTCCTGCCATAAGATCAAGTACAAAAGGGAAAAGCACTACTTGAGAAGGGTAGAGCCAGAGAAGCAATGCAATCCCCTCCCTGCCCCCAGAGGTTTTTCTAGTGCTAGCTCTTGAGGGTACCATAAGGCAGATATTCTGGGGTCAAGGAGGTATGAGGGAAACTCATTTATTTTCCCCTTTTGAACTTCCCTGCTGCCCCAGTCTTTGCCTTCTTCTTGGCAGATCCCTTGGGTCCGGGCTCCTTGCGCTTAGCTGAAGAGAGAGAGCCAGTCACCTTGAAGAAATCATCCAGGCGGCCCTGGGTGCTGCCTTGGCGGCTCTTGCTCAGCCGCCTGACCCCACTGCGGATTCGCTCCTCAGAGAACTGCTTTTCACCACACATGAACTTGACGAGCTCTTCTTCATTTGGCTCACTCCACTTCAGCTCCACAGACTCTGGGTCAAGCACCTCGGGCTCCAGGAAGAGCTGCTGGGCCTCCTTGTGGAGCCAATTTTCTGGCACGGGGTACTTGCTGGGGTCAAGCCGACGCACGATCTCCTCAATGCTCTTGTGCTTCTGGATGAGGTCCACAGCCCGCTTGGGCCCAATGCCCCGAATGCTCTCACAGTAGTCACTGCCCAGCAGGATGCACAGATCTACAAACTGCTCCTGGTTCAGGCCCAGCTCCTGCAGGATCCGGCTCAGGTGGAATTCCTGGATGGGCAGCTTCTTGGCCTCGCTGGCAGTCAGGTGCCGCATTAGCACAGGGCTGCCAAAGGTCAGGCAATCCATGTCCTCGGTGGCCGCGGCATAGACTTTGCCAGCCTTCACGAGGGCAGCACAGCTGGCCTCGGCCTCACTGGGCGCATCAAGGTATGGGATGCCCATGAGGCTCAGCAGATGCTTGCACTCATCATTGTGTTGCTTGGTGACCTTTACCAGCCTCTTAGTAAACTTTTCTACCTCCTCCTCGACCCCAGCAGCCTGAGCCTGCTGCAGCTGCTTCTCGGCCTCGGCCCGCCGCTCACTGCGTTTGGCCAGCTCACCTGACTTGAGCTGTGGTGGCTTGCCGTCAAAGACATACACGGGCTTGATGCCGTTCTCCACCATGCGGATGGTGCGGTAGAACATGCCCATCAGGTGGCTGGTAGTCTCGCCCTCCTCATTCTGCAGCACATCCCCACCCTGGCGAACAGCAATCAGGAACTGATAAATGCTCATAGAGGCATCAACAGCCACCTTGCGGCCAAAGTAGCTCTTGATGTCATTCTCCCGGATGGCACCAGGGGCCACATCAGCAATCAGTTTGGCCAGGCCTTGAATTCCCATAGCAACACAGAGGAGGGACAGCTAAAAAAGAAAGGAGTAAAGTAAGAAGAGGAGGGACTTAAAGGATGCAAAGGATCAAGGGTTATAACTGGTGCCATCTCACCAGCTCCGTGCCTTCAACTGAACAAACTGAGCACAACACAAAGGACGCCAATTTGGGACCGCAGAAGATGAAAAGATGAACAAGACAAGGTCACCATTTGTAAAAAAAAACTTACCGTCTAGCAAGGGAGCCCACCAAGGCTTCCTGAGGTTCGGAGAAAAAACTGGGTGTTAAGAGGAATAAGATCCTGCCGATGTCGAGGGACTTAAGGTTTCGTGGATAAGGAAGGCAGCAACAGGGCTCACACGCAGTAAGGGCTACAACTGGTGTGGGGGGAGGAGAGTGCCTGGCCTGGCCTGAGGAGCCCAGGGATCATAATGACAGCACCAGGCCCTGAAGGACAAGCAAATACTGGCTAAACAAAGATGACACAGGTACAAAAGCAACCATAAAACAAGGCTGAATGTGCACAGTGGCAAAATAAACACGAGTTATCTAACCTCTTGCCAATTCATACATTCCTCCTCTGTACCTTCACGCCAGTCCCTGAACACCCCCAACTCATTCCTCTGGCTCCCCACCTCTTAGCAGCTGTGATGGTTAGTTTCATGTGCCAACTTGGCTAGGCTAAGGCACCCAGTTATTTACTCTAACACTAATCCAGGTGTTGCTGTGAAGGTTATTTTGTGACATCTATCATCAGTTGACTTTAAGCAAAGGAGATTCCCCTCCATCATATGGGCGGGCCTGATTGGTTTTAAGGCCTTGGCAGCAAAAACTGAGGTTTCCCAAAGAAATTCTGCCTGAAGACTGCAGCATCAACTCCTGCATGAGTTTCTAGCCTGCGGGCCAGCCCGATCATTTTCAACCTTGCCAACCTCTTACAGTCACCTGAGCCAATTCCTTAAAATAAATCTCCTTATATATGTCCATATCCTATATCTTACTGTTTCTCCGGAGAACCCTGACTGATACAGTAGCCCTGAAGAAGGACTGGCAAAAAACCATAACTGGATGGGAGTTATGTGGCTTTCTCACACGCTGCTGCTCGAGTCTCCCTTCAGTAATCCTTCAGCACTGCGACTGGTTTCTACTTCTACCATGAGGTTGCTAGGGATTCTAAGTCTTTCCCTTTGTATTTTCTCTCCACCACTAAGTCTGAAAATGTGAACTCCGTGGCTCCTACCTGACCCTAGGTCCTGATCTAGAAGCCTGGCAACCTGTAGTTGCTCAGTCCCACATTGCACTTCTGTGGTTCAGGCCCCTTCACAAGTATTTCCTAGGGCATTGTTTCCCGAACTTCGGTCAGACCCAAACCACCCTCACAATTTTTTGCCACTTTCATTCACTTTTCACTTAATATTTTCTTTAAATGGACACCATTGTTTTAAAAACTCAGGTAAGTTGAAAAAGAGAGCTCTTAAGCAGTAATGTCTGTGCTGTATCAGTTATATATATATTTTTAATATTTTATTTATTTGAGAGAGAGAGAGCACGAGAGGGAAGAGGGTCAGAGGGAGAAGCAGACTCCCTGCTGAGCAGGGAGCCCGATGTGGAACTCATCCGGGGACTCCAGGATCATGACCTGAGCTGAAAGCAGTTGCTTAACCAACTGAGCCACCCAGGCGCCCCTGTATCAGTTATATTTTGATGCGTTCAATGTGTAACCATTAAAGAGGATTTTCTGGGTGCCATTTAAAGTCATCTTGTGCCCACTGGTGGTATGTGTCCAACACTCCAAGAAATATTACACTAGACGTTTTCGTTGCTCCCACTTTTCACAGGATTCTTTCTAAAGCATAAGTGACCCTGCAACATTCCCCCCCCCCCCCCCCCCCCCGCCCTTCTACTTAATTCCAAACACCTCAACCTGTCGTCAAGATCTTCCACGCTTTGCTTCCCAACCTACCTTCACAGTCTGGGGGCCAACGCCAAGGCTGGGATAAGGCCCGCCCTTTCTCACTGCTGCTCAGCCGTGCCCTCCTCCCGCCATCCTCTAGCTCTCCTGCTCGGAACCGTTCCTCCCGCAGAAGCCACTCGATCCTCTGGGTCCGGCCTCAGGCTGCCTGCTTTGCTAGAAGGCTTACCGGGAGGGAGGGCAGTGCCTGCTGGCCGGCTAGCCTCCCACAACCCCCCCAACAGAGGGAGGCGGGAAAGAGATCTAAACCAGCGAAGTCTCCAAAATGTTTCTCATCCAGGATCTTGGTCAAAGGACACAACGGCCCCTTTAAGTGGAAGCTGTTCCCTCCCCGCCAACAAATGAAGCAAGAGTCTCGGAGGTTAGGCGACCGGTCCAAGTCGCACTGCGGGAAGGTGGCGGGCGCCCGCGCTCTGGCCTTCGCCCCGCGCGCGGCAGACGGCCCCCCACAACACCCAGAGCGAGGCGGACCCCGCCGCCCTCGGAGACACTTCCCATGGGGTCTCACCTGGCCTTTGGGGCGCGAGGCCTCGACAGCTAGCGCTCGGTCCGGGGCTGCCCAGGGCGGTGCTCAGTCCCGCACCCTCCTCAGCTCCGCCGCGGATCCCGTCGTGCTCCGACGCCTTCCAAAGCCCGCGCTCCGCTCACGTGACCCGCCGCCGCGCACAGCCTCCTGGGAAGTGCGGTGCCGGGCCCGACCCCCTCGGCCAGCTCGCCTTGTGGCAAACAGTCCCGCCGGGGAGAACGAACCCTCTCAGCGGCTCTGCCCTACGCTTCTCCATCGCTTGCCCCAGCTCCACATCAGGGGCCCACAGGTCCCAGCCCCAGCTACGCCCTGACCCACGGGCCTACAAATCCCACAATGCCACTCGCGCGGGCGCACTTCCTCTTCCGCTGAGCGGGGCTCCTGCTCCTGCCGACGTGTTATTCCGGTGGCGGAGCGGCGGATGACCCTGTGCCTGGCAAAATGGTGAGGGGGTGGAGGGGCGTTCCGGATAGGGCTGTGAGGACCCCCTTGGGGCCCGTTCCACACCCCGTTTCTCTCGCAAAGGCCTCAGACGCCTGAGATCCAGACAGCGGGAGGCTCCTGTATTCTCCGGCTTGGGCGGAGGGACGGGACGGGAAGCCCCTTGCCCTGGCCTCGTTAGGCTGAGGTTTTGATCTGGCGACTTTTAAGGGGTGAGGCGTGTGAGGTGCATTTTTAATACCTTAAGCTTTTATTTCTGTTACCTGTGATTAAGCTGTTACCTCTATTTGGAAAGTTCTTCCTCCTGCTGAACTCCTACTCATCCTACAAAGCCCAGGGCAGATGTCAACCTTCTTGGTGAAGCACGTCCAACTCTCTGAGGCACTTGGCCGCTGTCTCCTGGGAGCTCCCACCTCTGTACAGACCTCTTGCCACATGTCATGGTCTTCTTTGTTATCTGCCACGCTGCCACGCCTCCTAGTGACCACCATCTGACGTGCATCTAGCTCTGGGATGATGTCTATTCATCTTTGTGTTCCCAGTGCCAAACACAGGGCCTGCAATTGGAGGCCCAATAAATGGCAGCGATTGTCTTTATCATTTTGGGGGGGGAGGGGGCGTAAATGTTTACTGAATTGAATTCCAGTGTCTCTTAGAACAATGGGGTCAATTTATTTCTCTAGAGTTGTTATGTTCTGGACTTTAGGAGCGCTGGCTGGTGAGTGACAATGGAAGTCAACATTTGTACAGAACTTTACGTTTACAGCCCTCCTTCACAAGCATTATCTCATAATCTTCCCTGTAAGCTTGGGAAGGAAACAAACACCTTTTGAACGACTACTCTGTGCCAGGAAGTGAGCTAGATGCTTTGACGTTCATCATCTTTCTTAAATCATACATCAACTCTGTGAGTGGTGTTATTATAACTATTTTACTGAGATTTATATTATTCAGTAGAGCCAGAGTATTAACTGAAGTTTTTTGCCAGTAGATCCTGAGATTTCATAAGAGCATAGTGTGAAAAATACAGATGTAGAAGTTGAGATTGGCTCCTGGCCCAGGCTCTGAATTACAGCAGGATTCTGAGCTTGGTGTCTACAGACATGGGTCCATAAAGCTCCTGAAAGTATAGGCAAACTTTTTCTTCCTTCTGGTTTACCCTGGGCAGGGTCCATACTTTTTATCACATTTTTTTTCATAGTCATCAGTGGTCTCAAAAAATGTTAGGGACCACTGGTCGATAGCTAATCAATCACCTTCTGTGTCAGCCTCTGATTCTTAGCTGCCCTTCTTGTCTCATGTTGAAAAAGCAAAGCGTCACCTTGGTTTAAGATGTCATTGTTGTCATTTCCAAATGGAATCACTTGGTGTTGGTTCTGAAGGACTTTCATACTTCCCAGGCTTCATGAAGCAGACCTTTAACAGTCCTAGAGGAGGAGGCTCCTTGACGACCTCACACTCCCCCTCAGGTTTAAGTCCTGGGATTCTTTGATAGCTCTGATCTCATGCCCTCCTCTAGGAGCTCGAGGCCATGAGCAGATATACCAGCCCAGTGAACCCTGCTGTCTTCCCCCATCTGACTGTGGTGCTGTTGGCAATTGGCATGTTCTTTACCGCCTGGTTCTTCGTGTATCCTTTTACTGAGCAGCCAGTGAGCCAGAATTAGCAATGTGGGAAACCGAGGGAGAAACCATGCTGGGTACGTGCACCCTGCCAGTTTTGCTCTGGTGTGGGGGTAGGGGGAAGGTAAGGAGGTTGAAGAAAAGCTGTTGATGTCCAAGGTCAGGTGCTGGCCTTATTTCCCAAGTTCAGGGGAGCTTAGTTTGCTCTTCAGATTTCCAGGATAGTGAACGGAAGGCCTGGCTGGACTGGAGGTTGGGGACAGGGAATCTGAAGTTGGGAAAGTGGTAAAAGGGTATGCTCAGGCGGCAGGAGATCTGAGGGCTAGTGCCAGTTCCACTGTTCACTAGCTATGTGACCTGGGGTAAGTGACCTAACCCCTCTGGGTCTGATTTTCTCCATGGGTGGTTGAGGGCTGGTAGGAAGCAACAAGAGTCCAGGTCATCTCTCAGGCCCCTCTTCCTGGCAACACTGAGCCAGGCAAGCCTTCTAGAAGGCTCACCCTATACCTTTTTCCCAGAGCTGCACTGGCCAGGCTTCCTGTCCTAGGCAGTCCATCCCTTTGCTTCTCCTTAATCACCCTGCCAGTTATGAGGTTACCTCTACCAAGTACACTCGGGATATCTACAAAGAGCTCCTCATCTCCTTGGTGGCCTCACTCTTCATGGGCTTTGGAGTCCTCTTCCTGCTGCTCTGGGTTGGCATCTACGTATGAGCTCCCAAGGGTAAGAGCTGCGAGAGGGTGGGCACTACAGAAGCTTCCCACATCCGCATCATTGGGGTCCTCAGGCCTGTGCAAGACTTTGGTTAACGGTGACAGACTTAGCAGAGTGGAGAGGGACACCAGGCACGTGTGCCTCTTTCCCTGTCCCAAACGGGGATCTGAGACCTACATTGTCATTCTAAGTTCTGCACACTGCCCAGGGCTTTGGGATACATTTCACAGGGCTGTGGGCACAGTCTTCCCATGTTAGACATTTGCATCCTTACACATCATACATCATTGACCTGGCGAAGCTGCTTGGGAATGGATTAGAAGGGGGTCAGAATCTAGGAGTACCATTGTGGTTAGTTTGAATGTTTTCAGTCAGTAAAATAAATCTTGACTAAGTGATTAAAAAAAAAGACCCAAAACCCTTGCTGCAGATAATCCACCGAACAGGTCACTGAGAATCAGCTTTGGTGGCTTAGCTTCAGAGTAGTGTGCCCATCAGCCCTTGCCCCAGGAGCACAGGGTCCAGTGAGAAGAGGAGGTGGAAAGAAGGGTCATCGGTTTCATTTTGATACCCCCTCTCCTCTTTTCAGGTTCCAACCAGGAGCTTCACTGAATTCCTGCTTTTGTAAATTAATTTTTTTACTGTTGCTGGAAGTGTCCCACCTGCTGCTCCCAATAAAGGCAGATGTGTGACCATCCGTCTGGCGCCCATTCTGCAGGGGTGGGGCAGCGGTGGAGTGGCACCGGGACCCACGTGACTTCCCCCGTCCCACCCCTTCCCATTTTTCTTCTGCCTTTCAGATGGTTCCTCCTGCTGGGAAACCCTGCTCTCTCTACCTGTGAGGGGTGAGGAGGGTATGGGAGGGGTGTCTGTCCTTGGAATTTAAAGCTCTGTGGATAGGAAGGGGCCAGGCCAATCCTCCTCTGTTGTTTTTAGAGCAGACTTGTCTGGGAACCCGCACCAATCAAGTCCGCCCTGGGCCAATCCCATCCTCTAAATGTAGGCACCCTTCTGTGTGCTGGGGAGCTTCACAAGGCTCAGCTTGTGTCCAGGGGAGGTTTATCCTGGGGTGGCTCCCTTAAACGGGGGGGGGGGGGGGGGGGGGCGGCAGCCGTAGGTCCATGGGATGTGGCTAGGGGAGGGGGCTGCTGAGTCCTGTTCCCAAGCCTAGCATGAAGCTAAGGAGGATAATGGGATACAAGGCATCCATCTGGCTCAGGAACCCCAGAACTCCAGTTGGTCTTAGCCCCACAGGCAACTCCATCTCCTACCACAACAGTCTCAAGAAGAGATGGGGAGGCAAGGTCAGATACAAAGCCATGTTTTTACATTTATTTATATATGTATATTTACTTCAGAAGGAAAGAACAGGGACAGGAAACAAGCAGGCCCAGGGCTGCTTCCCTCTGCCCACTCCAGAGTCAGAGTTGGTACACGATAAATATGAGTCAGCACTCAGGGACAGGAACTGGGAGTTAACTGGGAGGGAGGGGCGCTCTATGCACATGCAGGCTTTTGGGGGGGGAGGGTACAGTATGGGCAGAGGGATTTGTGCATTGAGAGGCCCTATGTACAGCTTGAAGCTTGGGGGAGATTAGCCCAGTGGCTCCAGGAATAAATGCCAAAGGGGAGAGGGGAAGGGAGGGATGGCTGCTGGACCCCATGTAGGGAATGGAGCCAAGACCCCCACTTACCAGTGCCAAGCAGGCAGCTGTCAGCCTCCAGCAGGTGACCCACTACCCTCCCCTGAAGCCCTTTTACCTTCATGGGCTTAAGGCAACTTTGGTCCAAGGTTGACCCCCCCCCCGCCCCGCCCCACCCCACCCCACCCCACCCCACCCAAGCAGCTTGGAGTCCCAGCTTGGCCCCAATCCTTGCACTGAGGACCCCTCCTCAGGCATGGAAACAGCCAGCTGCTAACCAGATTGGGGCTACGCTGTGTCCGGAAGGGCTCCAGGGGGCAGTGGAGGGTCACTTTCCAGTTAAGGACTGAGGGGCCACAGTCTGACGACAGGCACCCTCACTGAGGAAGCCCCAGAATCCTATTGCAAAGGGTGGGGCTCAGCAGTTTTAAGGCATTTCGGGAGGGTTCCCCACAGGGGAGGACAGGGGAGAGAGAACAGAGTAGTCCTGCGGAAGGCCTGGCTCCCTGGCTCCCTGCGTGGTGTGGGCAGCCACGTAATTCCTATGTCAGAATGAGGGAGGGAGCTAGGAGGCGGGGTAGCCCTCTCCCCCAGCTCCCCGGAGGATAAGTGCTTTGAGACCCACGGCAGAAGGGGGCCCGCACTTCACGAGCTTCTTCAAGATTGCAGCTCCCCACAGAAAGGCCTTGGGTCTTTCTGAGAACGAGAGGGGTAAGGCCTGGCCCCCAGAAAGGTGGCAGAACACCACAGGGCAGGGATGGCAATTCCTGTGCCCCTCATTGAACCCGTGTAGCCGTGGCTAAATGATTTCCACACTCCTTCTGTGAGCCTGGATGTGGCCTTAGAACATTCCAGGCTCCCACCAAGACCGGTTACTTTAACACTGGCACTTGAGTTAAGACGTCTTCAGTAACGCAAGCCCACTGCTCCACCTCCGGGAGGAGAGGGCGGAGATGGAATCTGCTGCCGAGCCCGACATGGGATCCCTTGATTTGGGGAGACAAGGTCGCCAGCAGACAAGAGAGGAGGGAGAAGCCAGAGTCTTAGTGGTTGGGAGTGGGATGGGTGTCTCAAGCCTCCCTGGGATGGATCAGAGCCAGGGCCCTGTGTTTGTAAATGTTTCCCCAGGGCTCTGCACCTCTCTGGCCTTTCCATCTCCATCCTTCCACTCGTGCCCTGGCTTAAGTGCATTTTAGTAATTACTTCATTAATAACAGCAAAAGCTATTTGTCTCCACGCACCAGCCAAGACCAGCCTGCTGCCCTTACAGGGATTCCTGCTCCTCTGCTCAGAGAGAATGATGGGTCACCGATACCACTACAAGCTCTGGAAGCTCCCAGAAGCCCAGGCCATGGGGCCACAACACCCATCTGGGGGGCTCGTGGGGAACTTCCAGGATACTCCAGGTTTAAGGGCCCAAGGCTGACCTGGCCCCCTGGCCCCCCACCCTGGTTCAGCCAGGCACTAAGTATATGTAAGGCACATGGTCAGTCTTTGCCAACCCATCCAGGGCTGGCTTCAGCTGCCCTGGGAGCTCTTGGGAGCCAGTGCTCCCAGGGAGAAGACACCTCCTGGGCCACACTTAAAGCTTCAAAGTCCCAAGTCCAGCGTAACAGTCAAAGCCCGAAAAGTCCACCACCTCGCCACCCCCCAGGGAGCAGCTTCCAGGGTGAGGGCTGTATACTCTCCGCCGACTCATGGATCCAGCCAAGTCTTTTAGGGCTCCAGCCAAATCCCCACTCCAAAAGAGGGGTGGCTCGCAGTCTCAAAAGGGGAGAGTGGGAGGATAGGCTCTGGACAGTCACAGGCTTACCCTTGCCTCCAGGGCCCCTGCAGCCAGCCCTCCAACCACCATATCTGGACAGATCCGACGTGGTCCAGTCCTGGCCCCAGGGGGTCTCTCGGGCTCCCCCTCTGGTGTGAGGGGCGACCAGCAGGAACAGCAACTCCAGTGTGAGGACTCCGACGAGTTTCCCCAGTCGTGGGGAGGGCCAAGCCCGATTCAGTCTCTCCGAGGGAGTGCCAGCGAGCAGCAGAGAGCTGGCGGGGCGGCGGGCTCCAGTGTAACGCCACGGCGTCCAGTGTGGAAGGGGCGCGTGGGGCCCCGGCCCGGGTGTGGTGCCGCCTCCGGGAAGGCAGCTCAGTCACACAGGCGGTAGAAACGGAAGTAGTAGTCCGTGGCCGGCCGGACCGGGGCCTCCGTGCTGCAGTTGGCCTGACCCTTGTGGGGGAGGGCAGCAGGAACAGGTGAGGTGGCTCAGGGGGTGCAGGGCAGGATGCACTCCCCCCCCCGGCCACATCACCTGGCATTGCGCCCCAAGTCTTGCCATGTGCTCCGGGAACCCCCACGTCCTTTCCCCAAGCCCCACACTTGAGATGCAGGTGCCCGGGCCTCTGGGGACAGATGGGGTGCCTGTACTCACCAGCAGGGCCACCCGGAAGTGGTAGGTGAATTCTCGGAAGGACAGGATTGTTACTGGCCACTGGTGGGAAGTGCCCTGGAGAAAGGGGAGAGGGAGGGGTGAAGACAGCCCCCTGGCCCTATCCCAGCCAGCAGCCCTGGGCTCTAGGGCACGTGTTACGGAGGCTAAAGTCAGAGCTGGGAAGAGAGAAGGGAGGGAGCACGTTCTGCTTTGGGGAGCAGTAGCACCCTTTACGCAGACTCGGAGCCAGGCTCCCGCAAGTCCAAAGCTGCCCTCCCCTGGTCCCCGCCTTGTCTTTTGCCGCCTTCGCTCCCCGTTATGCTCCAGGCACATCAGAGTATTTCATGAACCCCATCCTCACCCCAGCCCAGTAAGGTGATGCTGCTTATCGATGAGGAAGCTGAGCTATTGCTTGAATCACACGGCACCGTGTGGCAGAGCGGAGATTGACACACAGGCTCCTGGGCTGTCGTGCTCTCCCTTGCACGGGAGCCTGAGGCCCACCTTCAGACAGCTTGCCCGTGTCCCAGCTGAGGCTTTGGCGTGGCCTCCCTGTACGTGGCCCCGGGCCTGAGCTCTGCATCCTGACAGCGGCTGGCTGGGCTCTCCCTCTACTTGCGGGCGTGCTCTCCTCTGCCTGCGCCTCTTTCAAGGCTCTCACCCACTCAAGTGACTTTCTGCACATCTTCCCAGCTAGGGAGTGCATTCTTCCAAGGCAAGGCCCGTGTCCACCCCCGTCCCCCACCCCGGTCTCCCCACAGATGGGCCCAGCACAGGGCCTGGGACAGAGGAACCCCAATACATTTTTGTTGAATAAACATGAATCGTTGAGAAGAAATTCCCACTTGTGCGGAGAGTCACAACTTGGGTCACATGGGGGTAGGAGCTGGACAAGGAAAGGGCCATGGTCATCTGGTTCTCAGAGCAGGAGGCAGGCCTCTACAAGGTAGGCTGAGCAATCTTCCAAACTGGAGGACTGAACTGTGCCGCTGCCCAGCCTGAGCTTGAGGACTGGGCTCCTTCCTGTTTCCCGACTCCTAGCCTTTTGCCACATGTCCAGCTCTGCCAGAAGGTCACACGTTCCCTGGCCTCCGAACCTCTGCACGTGCTGTTCTGCGCCTGGGACAGTGTCCTCTTTTCTTTGTCCAGCTGACCCCGAATCATGCCGCAGGTTTCGTCTTCATTAAACATGACTTTTGGGGTGGCTGTTCTGACCCTGAGCACAGACAAGTTTAGCTCTCCCTGCCAAGGGCCTCTAGGATACCCTCCTCATCCCCGCCACTGCGTTCACCCCAGGTTAGTCCTGGTGGAACTGTTTTCTTGCCAGGGGCTCTTGGCAGGGATGGGACAGAGCAAGGACAGGGCAAGGAGATGCTCTGCAGTGAGCCCAGAGGCCCAGGCCTTAAGGGACCCTTGTGGAGATGCCTTCACTCTGACTCCCAGCTCCTCCTCTTCACCTGTTGGGGGCCCAGTTGTGCCAGGGAAGATGAAGCCCTGGGGCCTGGCTGGCCCCCAGCTTCCCAGTCGCCTCCTACCTGGGTGTCCTGGTAGGTGTGCAGGCTCTGTGGGAAGCCCCCCTCCTCACACGGCTCATCCTTTGACATCAGGCTGCACAGCACCACAGACACGGGAGACGAAGAGCTGGGGGAAGGCCCGGTTAGCGGGGAAGTGGGGTTCCGAGTTCCTCAACCCCACCCCGCCCCCAGCCAGCCCTCCACACCACCTCCCCTGCCCTGCTGAAAACAAGCCACGAATCCTCACACAGCCCGAAAATGATGCCTACTAGTCGGGCCCTAGACAGCCCTTTCCCATCTACCATCCCACATGGTCTTCACACCCGTGAAACAACAGCCTTTTCTAGATAAGGAGCTGAAGCCCAGAGACCGCCAGGGTCATACAGCCAGTCCAGCACAGAGCAAGGGATAAAGTTACTTAGCATCCCTTCTCAGACCCCTTCCCCAAGTTGCCGAGGACCGCCGCGTCTCCACTGCCCCATGCTGGCACTCACTTCATCTGCAGAGTTAGGCTGAGGTGCAGCGGGGTGCTGCTGCTGACAGGGATGTGGTAGGTGAAGTTTCCAGGCCTGTAGGGGCAAACACGGCTCCTTGGACCAAGGATCCCTGCTGAAGCCCCTTGCCTGCACACCCCAGCCCCAGGTCTGTACTGGAGCCCATGGAAAGCGGCTGCCCCACCTTGGGGGGGGAGTTGGAGGGGGACGGCATCTGGGCATCTGCCCTGCCTGGGCTCATGGCACCTGAGGGAATCTGTCCTTGGGGTGAAGGGAGGGAGCCAAGCCCACCTGCAGGCATCCCCTGGAGCGCAGTACTGGGAAGTGATGGGCATTGATGTCTCCAGCACCTGGATGGAGGTCAGGGAGGGCACTGGGTCTGCAAGGAGAGAGGCTGTGGGGGCAGGGAGGAGGGTGACAAGGCAGGATACAAATAAGCAGCAGCCAAGCCGTTCCTTGCCAGGCTCACATTCAGTCACTCACACCTTAGTATAAGTTAATTTCAGGTTATTCTTTCCAGACCCCCACAATGGCCAGGGTCACACCGCCCTCTTCCCCCCCAGCACTACGAAGAGCCACTTCCCGTGAGCCTGGGGTCTGCCTCCTTGACAGAACCTGAATACCAGGAGCAGGGATGGGTCTTCCATATCCTTTGCCAGGGGCTTACAGGAGCCCGCTCACAGTCCTTTCTCCTGCCTGCACACATCTCCTCCATATTCAGTTCAGTTCAGCGGCATCAAGTTGGTAGCTTGAAGTCAGCCGCAGTGGGAGCAGTCAGTCACCACAAATCAGGGCTTTTTTCCCCAAGAGCCAACTGTTAAACACCTACCAGCACTACAGTACTGTGTTCTCAGGTCTCTTGAGCATTTCGGGGTCAGGGCGTGCCTGTCTTCATTACCCCCATACCACGCACACAGCCGGCCACAGAGCAGGAGCCCCTGGGGTTTCCCCATCACTCTGAACTTCAACCTCAGCAAGTCACCATTCCTAAGCTCTTTTTTTTTTTCTTTAAGCCACAAAACCCATCAAATGAAACCTGATAAGGAGGCCCAGTATCTAGAGCAGAGCCACCTGGCTGAAGCCCAGAAGGCCCCTGGCCTCCTCCGTGACCTCCGGGGCCCTGGCATTGGCCAACATGGGGTGGGATTCCAGCTCTGCGGCTGCCCGGCCACACAACCCGGCTCCGTTTCCCCATCTGAACCATGGGGATGACCCCTTCCTCGCTGGGATGTGTGAGCACTGAATGAGGCGAGTTACATATGGCCCCCAGCCTCATGGCTGGGACTGCACAACGCCCAGCAAATGGCTGTCGACTGACGGTCCTGCGCCAGGCCTTCTGGAGCCTGGGCTGAGCGGCGCCCTGGTCAGCGAGCCTCGCTGGCTGAGCTGAGAAGATGAGGGGGCAGGCAGGTAGGGCAAGTACCTGGCTGGCCCTGGGCCTGAGTGGGCTGAGCAGGGCTCAGGCCAGGCTCGGGGGCCCCTCGGCGGGTCCGGCCATGGAGGCCAAGGCTAGGGCTGTTCTTGGCTTTGCCTTGCCCTCCAGGGAAGGGGACTGCAGGGCTGGCCAGAGGCTCTGAGCTCTTTGGATGCTTGGAGTGGCCAATACCATTGGCTGACAGGCTCCAGGACTTGGCTCTGATGTTGGTGACTGGCAGCAGGGCCATCTGGCTAGGGCCTGTGAAAAGAATGAGGGACAGGCTGAGCAGGGGGAACTGGCTGTCTCCTGTCCCGCTTTCTCCAACACCTCACCAGACTCTGGGTGACCCCCCCTCTGTCTCTTCGTCCCCTCGGGGAGACCCACCAATCTCTCCAGAGCCCCATTCTGGGCTTCAGGATACCCTCCCACCAGTGAGACTTCGGGGCCTTCCTCGGGACTCACATAAAACCCCCTCAACCCAAACCCTGGACCCGGGAGAGCCATACCTGAGCGGTTGGTGGAGGGGCTGGGACTGGGGCTGAGGCCGTGGCCAGGGTTAAAGCTGGGGCCAAGACTCGGGGCAGCGGTAGGGCTGGGGGTGGGCGAGGAGCAGCAGACGACTGGGCAAGGGCGGCTAGAGCACAGGTCCAAGGTGGGGATGACCGGACCTGGGGCCGAGCTGGTCAGGCCAGTGGTAACTGAGGAAGCCGAGGCTGTATGAGCTCCGGGCCGGGCAGCTGAGTCCCCGCTCAGAACACCGCTCCCTTCCCCCCACCCCCACCCTCCAGACCCACCCAGCGCGCACCCAGCAGCAAGGAGGGCGGTGTGCCTGGCAGCCCAGTGGTCCCGGGGGAATGTCGGAGCTGGGTGGTCCCGAAGCTCTGGCTGGACCTGCTGGGGAGGGGCGAGCTGAGCTCAGAGGGACTGCGAGAGCCTGAGCAGGGAGGCCTGGGAGTCCCAGAGAAGTGGACAGGAGAGACAGAAGGGACAGGGATGGCGGAAAAGAGGCAGGGGGCAGGATGGCAGGAGCCAGAGGCAGGAGGGAGGGGGCTTGGTCCAGACACGTACCATGGGCACATGGCCTCACTCCCCCCAGGGTGCTGGGGCCGGAGCAGGGCCAGAAGACAGGAAGTGGACACGGCATAAGAGCTAAGGGGTGGCAGAGAGGAAAAAGAACCGGGGCGGGGGTGGGGGGGAACAGGTGCAGGGGAGGAGAGAGAAAAGACACGGTCAGAGATAGCCCCGGAGCTGAGGTGACAGTGGGCAGACAAGAGCCCGGGGTCCCACCCTGGCCCTCCTTCCCTGCCAACTCCCCCTTCCAACCTGGGCCCCTCAGATGCCCCCTGACTCGCAGAGGCCCAGCTACCTCAAGGAGCACTGAGTAGAAACATTGGCTTCAGCCTGGACAGCGAAAATGCTGCCCCTCCTCCAGGGAGACCTTCCCACCCGGCCCTGCAAGCCCGGACGGGCTGAGAGCCTGAGGCGCTGTCCCCTTCGGAGGAAACAGCTTCCACAGCTCCGCTGCCCCTGGGCTGCCCACCAAAGCCCCACCTGTCCTGGCAGCCTGGCCGGCAGCCAGGCCTCCAGGGACATACCCATCAGTTTCTACCAGGTCCTCCTCGGCGCGCAGGCTCAGCACGTACAGTGTGGACATGGACACCACGCTGGGAGCCACAAAAAAGGGCCACTGTTAGAGCTGCCGCCATGGTCCTGGCCCTCTCTCTAGGGCAGGGTCTGTGGTCCTTGGCTCCAGGGGCTGTGCTTGCGAATGAATGATGCCTCTCCACGGTCTCCTCCCGCCCCCGGGGCATGGGACAGAAGGAGGCAGCCCGCTTCCTTTCCAGAGACCTCAGGCAGGTCTCATCTCCCAGCCCCATCTTCCTCTTCCTCCAGGCCTGGGCCCAAGGGCAGCTCACCTCCCCCCAGCCAGCCCTGCCTGGAGCCCGGGGCACAAGTCACCTGAAGGCCATGACCACCACTAGGGCAATGATGGTTCCCTGCAGGAAGCGCTGGCTGATGCAGGTCTGGTCTGGGACCACAGAGGACGACTGAGGACCGACAGGAAAAGGGGAAGAAGCAGAAAAGGCCCAGACTTAGGGAGCCCATGGTGTCCCTTGGTGTGGGCTCTGCTGGAGGTGGGGGTGCTAAGGTCTACTCATGCCTACGGTGGGGGTGGGGGGATGGACAGAGGGAGAGGAAGGAGAAACGGGGCCAGAGAGCTAGAAAGCTGGGAGGAAAGAGGAGCCCTCGCAGTCAGAGAGCCTGGAGAGCGAGGGCCCGGCCCAACCTGCCTCCCATCTCCCATCCGTGCCCACCCTCACCTTGCTGGCCACCTTGGGGGGCCTCTTCTTGTGGGGGACACTGCCCGCCCGGCTGAACTGGCTCCCTGCACGGCTGCAGCAAGAGGGCCAGGGTCAGAGGTGCCTCTGGGAAGGGGATCTTGCCCCTGCCTGGCCCACGCCCCCACCTGAAGGCGCCCGAGCTGCCCGTGGACTTGAGGCTGTCCAGCCGCCGCAGTTTGGCCAGCTTGTGGCTCCAGCGTTCCAGCTCATCAATGCGCGTCTCCAGGTTGTCCGTCAGCTTGCACAGCTCCTTCACAGCACCCACGTTCTCCATGAAGATGCGCTCCTGCCACGGGGGATGGGCGCCGTCAGCCCCTGGGGAGCCCTGGGCTACAGGGAGCGGCCGCGTGGAAGGCCCTCCAAGCCTCCCTACCCAGGCCAGCCCTAGCTCCCCCAACTTCCTGTGCCTGCCTCCAAACAGCTGCCCCACCTCTGCACCATTGCTTGGGCCACCCGTCCAGCCGGAACGGCCCTTCCCGCCCCTTCGGAACAGTCTCTCAGAGGCGCCCAACCTCTGATCTCGTGAACGTGGGGTCGTACGCTTCAGCTCCTTACTATTCAGCCGAGGCCAAAACCTATGACTTCACCCTCACCACAAGCCATGTTTAAGCTTTGCGAGAGCCACCCGAGAGGGTCTTGGCAGTGACTCTTTAACCTCCTTTCGAAGGGGAGGAAAATGACCCCCAGTGCGCTTCGTCTTGCTGTAGACCACACAACCATAGTGTCGCCAGCTGGCCCTTGGATGCTCACCCCCTTCCCTGGGAGGTGGGGAGGGGGGTCTGGACACATGAGAGAAGACTGGGCTGCCCTCACCCCCTGCATTTCAGCCCTCCCAGTCTCCAAGGGGGAGATGAACACCCCCCAGCTGGCCCACCCCCTGCCCTTGGGCCACCCAAGGCCTCCCACCCTGCAGACCTTGTTCACCACCAAGAAGTTCTCTATGGTTTTCCCATTGGCAAAGACCAAGTCTCCAGTGTCCTTCACGGCCTCAGGCAGGATCTCCTTCACTTCCTGGGCGATGACACCTGCGGAGTTGGGAGGGGAGTGGGGTGGAGAACGCCCACAGCACCATCATGTAAGGAGGGGGCCCGGTGTGAGGAGGGCAAAATTCTGGGGGCTAGAGATTTGGGATCCAAGGTGCCCTGGAGCAGGAAGCTCCGACGGACAAGTGTTCAGAAGGCTGCAGTTCCGGGGCTCAGGTGTGGGGTTCCCTGGCCTGGGGCAAGGGTGGATTCCTCGGAGGAATGATCCCAGTGGAAGTGGGCAGAGACAAAAGCAGGATTCACCTAAAGAGCCGAGGATCCCGGGACCAGGATTCCGGGACTTCTAGTGTCAAGGGGGTAGCTAGCCGACACCCGGGGAGGTCCGATTTTCCAAGGGCTGAGGGGTGGGACTTCTAGAGGGCAGGATTCCCTGGGTAGGAGTTCCAGGAGTCAAGGAGAGGGGTGCCTGGGAGTGGGGTTTCCAGCGGGCTGGGACAGGGGACGGGGTGACTGAGGGCCGAGGTTGCCGGGTTCCCGGACCCCAGCCCCAGTCCGCGCAGGCCGGTCCTTACCGGTCTCTGGTGCCGTGGCCTCGATGCCCGCCGTGGCTGCAAACTCCGGCTTGTATCTGTAGTGCACCAGCCGCATGCGCGAGATCCTCTTCAGCTGCTCCGTGGTGTCCACCTGCCCGGGAACCAGGACCGAAACTGAACCCCTCCCCTCCTGGGCCCATCCGAGGTGGGGCCTGGGGTTGTACGGCGGCCGCCCGGGCTCTGCGGTGCGGCGGGGAGACCCCTAGGGCCTGCCTCCCTCACCTCCTTCCCCTGCCGCCCTGCCCTTCCACCTGGCCCCGCCCCCCCCACGAGCCCCGCCCCCTCGCCCTCCGCCCCTCCCGCGGGGAACTCCGCTCTCCCGGCCGCACGGCCCCGCCCCTCGCCCACAGCCCCGCCCCCACCTCCTGCACGTGCTCCTTGGCCCGCAGGTCCGAGGGGTGCATGAGCGAGCCCATGACCTTGACGTTGCCGTGCACTACCAGCGCCTCGTCGGGCCGGTCCGTGTTGATGCCCACGCGGCCATGGTGGAAGACAGTGTCGGGCACCTGCGCCCGCTGCCACAGCACGTCGCTGTCACTCTCAAACTGGCCTGGGTTGGAGGCCTAGCACAAGTGGGCCGGGGTTTGGATCAGTCCCAGGGGCGGGGGACCTGCAGTGCCCTGGGCAAAGCGGAAACCCTGCAGCTACCCCTCCGGCTCCAGGCAGGGATCCTCACCCCACCACGCCCAACTTAAACTGCACCTCCCACTGTGGCACCTTTCAGTCACTCGTGGGATCTCAGGAGGCTACCCAGGCCTTGTCCACCTCCACCCTTGTGAAGGAGACACGGTGGCTCAGCGGGTGGGAACTTGCCCGAAGCCACCCAGCTAGGGCCTAGCAGGATCAGCCTTCTAGCTCCTGACTCCCCAGGACCCCAGTACTTTTCCTGGGCGCCGCCGCTCCCAGCTCCCGGGAGAACTCTTGATCCCTTGGGAGGAGGTAGCCCTCACCCTCACGATGATGCGCTCTGAGATTTGGGCAGCCAGCGTGTAGTTCTGGTTCTGGGCGTGGGCCTGGAGGGCCACCACCAGCATGAAGTACCTGCAGCACACAGGGGTTTAGAGGCACCCGGGGTCCTGCCCCACCTGCCCCTGCCCGCCCACCCCCTTCTCCCCGGCCCATGTCTGCTGTACAGTGCCCGGGGTTCCCAGCACCCCAGTGGGGAGAGGGCATTAACACCTCATCCTACAGAGGAGGAACCTGAGTCTCCACCAGGGGGCAGAAACTCCCCAGGGCCCACAGCTAGGACACCTGGAGCTGCTCATCCAGAAGCCAGGCTTCTGCTCTCTCATCCTTAACTCCATTAGCCTTAGCTGGGAGGCTCAGGTCTCTCTTCTGTAAAATGGGTCAGTGTGTGGGACACTGCGACAGCAGTGTCTTCCTGCCCCTCCTCCTTAGAGATGGAGGGCCCGCCAGGGCCGGGGTGCAGCCTGCTCACCTCTGGTCAGGGTTGGGTTTGCCCTTCTTGCGCATGTTGTTGGCAGTGGTCTCACTGAAGTGCAGACGGCCCACAGTCACCTTCGTGACCTGCTCAGGGGGCAGATTGACCCTGCAGAGGAGCGGCAGGGGACTCAGGACACAGGGAGGGGGGCTTCCAAGAGCCAGGCGCCCAGTCGGGAATGCGCGGGAGGCAGATATCGTGGGTGCCTGCCTGGCCCCCTCAGCTCCCAAGCCAGCTCCAGGGCCAGTCCACCCGGGGACCACCACCCCCAGGGTTGACACTCACGTGACAGGGTTAAAGGGCCGCTTGCTCCGGTCCGACTGTGACTGCTCGATGTTGATGGACTGGTTCAGGGCCTCCAGCTGGGGGAGAAGCAGAGGCCAGTGGCTCATCAGGGCCGGGGTCCCCGCCTGGTTCTGCCACCCTTCAGCCGCTCAGCCCGGGCCTGGCCCAGCCCGAGCTCCCCCGGAACTGGAGGCGAGGCCCTCCCTCCAATGAGGGCACAGACAGTCACATGGCTCTCCCAGCTACGCATGCACCCACTCACACATTCCACGGACACACGGCCCCCACCCCCATCCCCGCGGCCCCTCCATGAGCAGCGGCGGAGCCACGCCAAGGCGCCAGGTTCCAGCTCCTGGCAATGGAGGAAACCCACGCAGCAGTGCCCCCAGGGAGGTCGTGGGCTCCAAATCAGCCACTCTGAGGCAGGGGCTAGAGGGGCCCCAGGGGAGGAGCCTCAGGGCAGGTGTCCCCAAGGGCCGAGGACTGTAGCAGAGTGAACGGGAAGGCCAGAGGAGGAGGGATGGAATGGGCCTTCTCAGGGTGTCCCAGAGGTGGGGAGCCGCCTCAGGAAAGCGGGGGCTGTGAATGGGCGCAACCCTGTTTGGGGCACAACCAGAGGCAGGGCTGGAGGGAAGCGCTCGTGGGCGAAGCTCAGAAGTCAAGTTTCGCTGGAGGGCACCAGGAGCTCTGGAAGAATGGCAAGTGTCGTGCCCGCTGGTGTCTCAGGGGGAGAGTGAGCTGGTGGCCCCCGTGGAAGCTGCTGTGGTCACTTAGACGAGGTGGGGGTGTGGTCGGGGCCAGGGAGAGGCCGAGGGGAGAAGAGGCTCGAGGAGAATAGCCAGACCTGGTGCATGATGATGAGGTGGGGGCAAGTGGGCCCCTGGATGGATGGCCCTCGGAGTGGCTTGGGTAACCAGCGCCCTGGAGCCCTGCTCCCTGAGTGGGGAGCCCCGACGGAGGGGCAGGCTGACAGGGAGTTCGTTTGGGGCTGAGGATCTAAGCCAACATAGGGGTCAGGAGAAGGGTCTGGGTTGGGGGTATAGATTGGGGGGTCACCGGGTAGAGAAGGAATCAGGGAGCACAGCTGAGAAGGGGGCTGAGGGGGCTGACGGTTGGGGTGCAGGTACCCTCATTTTGCCTTGGGGTCGTTCAGGTCCCCAAGCATTCCCTGCTCCCCTTCCCTCCTGGCTGAGCCCCCAAACCTGCCTTCACTCCGTGCAGTTTCAGGTAGAAGCAGTCGAGGGGCTTGAGGCCCTCAGGCGTCTTGACGTACTTGGGCTCGCCCAGCATGCCGATGTACACCGTGACCTGGAAGTGGTTCTTCTTCTGGTTTTTTAATGATACGGCGACCACCGAGAAGTTGAAGCCCTTGTCAGCGTCCACACGGTAGGTGAGCATGGGCCTAGGGGCAGGTGAGGGTACTCACCAGAGGCACCCCCACCAAAGCCAGGCCTGGAATGTCCCTCCCCCATGCCTGCGTTGCAAAGCGATTTCCTACCCAGTCCCCACCGCCACCCCCCCGATCCTCAGACCACTCATGGGGCTGCCCCCCACGTCTCAGAAATGAAAACTGAGTCCCCGGAAGGATTTGAGCTCAGGTCGGCCAACTCTTCCGCCAATATTCTTTCCTCTATGTGGCTGGGCCCAGCCCCCCCTGGTGATGGGGGGGAGGAAGGGCAAGACCCCTGAGGGCCACGAGAGGGCAGTGAACTCCTGAGGAGGGGGCTTGACGGCCCCTCCTCACCCTTGGCTCCTTCCCAGGAGGCTGCCTGAAGCCCCCTCCCTCACAGGAGATGGGGTGAGAGGGGGTGCGTCTGCAGAGCTTCACTGGCCTGACAGCTGGTTGCCATGGAAACGGTGGAACCAGGCGCCGGCTCGGGACTGGCCCAGCCCCGGCCCACTGGCTTGCTCAAGCCCCCAGAGTCCTCATGCTGACTCCTCCATCTGCCCAGGTGCGGAGAGGGGCACTCTGGGCAGGGTAGACGCAGCCTCAGTTTACCCATCTATGGCTGGGCAAGGATTCCAAGTATGGATCCTTTGGGGGACCTCCGGGCAGCGGGAAAGGGGGCAACTGTTGGCTCATCCTCACCCAGGTCCCCAGGCACAAAGCAGTGCTCCCAGTGCCCAGGGCCTGCCTGGAGGAAGATGGGCAGAGAATGATTCCAAACTTGGGGGAAAAGGCTTGGGGGCCTGGCTAACATCTACGGAAAGGCCTGGGGCTCCACCCACCTGCCTGCCCCAGGGGAACACCCGGGAAATACATGGGCCACACTGGGGGTCTCCGCTGCCAGCTTCCTGGCCTTAGGGCCTGAGATGGCAGGGCTGGCCTGGACAGCATGGTAGTGAGAGTGGGGGCGGTCGTCCCCAGGTCACAAGGGTAGGATCTTTGAAGACCTCTCCCCCCATCCTGACAGGGCCTCAAGGGATCCTTCAGCCAGGACAGCAGCTGGATCCCCCCCCCCCCCCCGCAGCCCCGAGCGCTCTGGCTAAGGGCTTCAGCCCCAGCCCAGCTCCAGGACGCTGTTCTCAGCCACCCCACCCAGGCCTGGCAATGTCCAAAGGGAGTTGGTGAGCCACCCTCTCACCCCCACCGGACTTCTGCAGGAGTGAGGGGAGTGGTCCCACAGTGCTCCTGGCCCAGTCCCAGGAAGCTGAATCCACATGGGTGGGTGCTGAGGGAGAGCTAGGAATGCTCGGACAGCCCTTGCCTCCCCCACCTCCTCGTCCCTCCCTTCCAGGGAGGGGGCTGCTGGAAGGGCCCTGCCAACACAGCTTCCTGCTACCTTCCTGGAATGCAGAAGGAGTGGGGGAGGAGGAGCCACCCACTTCTCCCTGCCTTGGCTCCCACTGGCCCCTCCCTGACAGGCACCGAGGCCTGGGGCAGGCCCACAAGTTGGGAACCCCGAGGGCCTGGCCTGGTTCTGCCCTGAGCCTGCTGCTCTCCTGTAACCCGGGCCCAGGGGGCGCCCAGTGTGCTCCCAGGCCCCCCTGCTCTGGGACCCTGACACCAGGGCCGGTCCCCGGATGCGGTGGCAGGGGTGGGGCGGGGCACTCACAGCTCCTTGTAGTTGGCGTCGTACAGTGTGGCCCACTTGTTCTGCTGATGCGGTTGCCACTTGATGGACTGGTAGTTGGGGTCCAGGTAGGAGCCACTGAGGCTATCATTGTCCTGCAGGAGACCTGGAGGGAGGAAGCAGCCACATGGGCCCTGGGCCCCACGCCCCCACCTCAAGGGGAGCTGGCTCGCTGTGAGCTCCAGCAGGCCAGGCACATACCTGGTGAGGGTGCCCCTGGCGGGTGCCAAGGTGGTGTCTGGACCCGGGCAATGCTGAGGGGCAAGGAGCCAGGCCCAGGTGAGAGGGGGCCCTGGGGAGGCCAGGGTGGGGATGGGGCTCGAGCTGGGTGTGGGGGCAGGGTCGTTGCTGTCCCAGGCTCCTGTTTGATCATTCCATTCAGCATCTGGGCATTGAGGGTGTTGGGAGGTGATTCGGAGTGCTTCCTCTTCTTGGAGGGGTGTGTGGGGAGCCTGGGGGTTACACAGAGGCGTGCCATGGGGGGCTGGCTCTTCCTGAGCCCCCTCCCCCCTGGGCAGTAGCCCCCGTTCCCTCTTCACCCCGTTTCAGCAGGATATGTCCAATCCAGAGGACACCCCCTCCAAAAAGCCGCGAGGCTTTACCTCCTCAGTGCTTCCCCATCGCTCTGTAATGCCATTCTCTGCTTCTGTCACTCCTCTCTACCCCGGCAGCTCATGGAACCCGGAGGGCAGGAGCCACACCTGCCTTGTCTGTGTGCCCCATCAGGCCCAGCCATGGGCCTGGCGCACAGAGTGCCCCGAATTGTTTGTGGAAGGAACAAGCCGGTTCCTTCCCTGGGGTGTCATTCTCAGGGCCACCCTTTATAGTGGGGGCTCCACGGCGAGCAGCCTCCGAGGCTGGAAACAAGCTCCAGGGGGCGTGGGCCACCAAGGCTGAGAAGGAGAGCTTCTTGGGGAGGAGGCTGTGGAGTCTTGCCCTGAACTAAAGCTTTCATGACATCTCGATGTGTCAAACAAACAGATAAAAGGACAATTCTCCTGGTTGGAGTCAGAGGGGGAGCTTGGGTCCATAGCTAGAACTTCCTCCAGAGCCCCCGGACTTGGTGAGAAGGTTGGAAAGTCACTGGTGTCTGGGGAAAGGCACAGGCCCGAGGTTCAAGTCCTGGCTCTGCCCCTTCCTGGTTCCATGACCCGGACCAGCATTTCCTCCCCCTGGGAGCCCCAGTTTATCTATCTGGGCAATGGGGGTGGCCATGCTCACCAAATAAGGTAGTCGGAAGCATCTGGCCTATCTGGGCTATCGGGCTGCTGGGTGGGCACATCCGTATACACGTGCTGACCCTGTCTCCTGGGGGCAGAGCCTTCTGCCCTCCTGGCTCATCCGGGTCCCCACCTCCATCTCTGCCCCACCTGCTGCTGCCCTGCCCCCCCCACCCCCAAGCCCACCTGCCCCAGTCTTACTCAGCTCCATGCTGCTGCAGCAGCTGATGCAGCATCTGGGACTGCTGCGTGTGGTGGAGATCGCTGGGCACGAGCCCCTGCCCCATGGCAGCATAAGGGGGCATCGGGGGCTCGGCCTTCATGTACAGGTCCCGCTGCAGGACAGGGTAGTGAGGTGGGGGTGGCGGGGGCGGTGGGGGGCCTGGGAGGTGGGCCGGAGGTGGAGGCGGGTGCTCCAGGCGGGAGGGCACTCCCACGTGGCACAGGGTCTCAGGGGTTATGGTGCGCAGGAGATGGGGGTCTGCGGGAGAGATGGGGGGTAGGCATCAGAGACCTACATCACTTGGGTTCCCGGGCACAGGGTTTCCCACCTTCTCCTGAGACAAGCCCCGGGGGGCTGACCTCCCACCAACCCCACGTGGGAGGAGGGCTGGGCAGCCTGAGGCTGGCCACTAGAGGCCCCGGCAGGGAGACAAGCCCCTGTCCAGGGGGTGGGCAGCTTCTCCCCCCTGCCGTCCTAACCGGCTCCTTTCCCCCAGGCCTGGCTGCCCAGCTCCCGGGGGGAAGGCCCCGCATCCCAACATCCTCCCCCAGCCCCTCTCAGGCCTGATCCTCCTCTGGGCCTCAGGAAGGAGTCTCTCGGGGACCCCCAGCACAGTCCTGCGGCAGCCCTCCTCCATCCCGCAGCCCCTCTAGCGGGCTCCCAGGGGCCAGCCCCCCAGCTCCCTTTGTTCCCCAGGAGGCATTCCAGAAATGTTTTTGGTAAGATAAACAGAACTCTTGACCCCTCTCTGGGCTGTGGGGAGCCGGCTGCCCGAGATCCTTCTGCTTTGGGCCACCTGGGGGCCGCGGCACCCCTGGCACCCCCCCACCAGGGGAGGTGGGCCCAGGAGGCCAGCCAGGCCTGTACTCGGGCTGCACCCACAGCCTTCCCCAGCCGTCCACTTACCGCCGAAGGGCGCGTCCATGATGGCGCAGGCGGGCAGGCGGGTGGCATCACCGGCAGGGACACTTGCTCAGAGGCAGGGCCAGGCTCCCCACCCGCCCGTGGGAAAACAATAGCCAGCACCGGGGAGTATTTGACCAGCGATAATCTGGGCCTGTTGGGCGGCCGCTGGCCCCCTCCCTCCCTCGCTCCCTCCCTCCCCGATAAGGCCGCCCCAACCACTTGCCCAAACCCCGGAGGGGGAGGGCGGTGCCCGCTGAACTCACCATTCACCTGCTGGGGGGAGTACGCCTCGGAGCCCGAGTCTGGGGGAGAATCCGGCAGTGTGCTGCAGGAGCAGGAGGAAGGGGCTGTTGGGCGGGCAGCTCGTCTGTGGGGCCAGATCCCGGAGACCACAGACGCTGCAGGCCCCGAGGTCCCCCACTCCCCCCTTCAGGGGAATTTCTCTGTATGAGCCACCTTGGGGTGCCAGGCAGGGCCTCTGCCTGAGTTGTAGGTGGGGGGCCTTGGGCTCCTGCCCAGCATCCCCTCAGACCTACTGGGCACTTGGGGACCAGGAACCAGTGTCCCTGATGATGGCACAGGGATTCGAGGAGGAGGCCCCTGCTCCTCGCTTCCCACACCCACTGAAGCCCCACTTTCTAGAAACTCTAGGGGAGAGCTCTCGGGGGCTCTAGGAGGCTGGGCCGCCCCACCAGGGGCAGGTATGGGCTGGGCAGGGAGCCAGCCCCACCAGGTTGGGGTGTATTTTTTTCTTGCCGGTTTTGTTTTATCAGCGGTTCGGGCAAAAGAACAAACTCAACCCTGAGAGATCAACATGTCCTGCGTGAACCCTGTGTTCGCCCGGCGAGGGGAGGCTGCGGCCAAGCAGGGACCCAGCTCTCTGGCCGTCCTGGTCCCCACATCTGGAGAGACTGCGCACCAGGGTGCCCAGGCAGCCAAGCCCTCATGGACACAGCCCTGGGCTGATTCCAGAGTTCTCATGCTCCCCTGGATGAGCCACCCACCCCCCCCCCCCCCCCCCAGGCTGTGTGAGAATGACAGAAAAGGCAACAGGGACCCGATCCTCTGCAGCCCTCAAGGTCCCCGAGGGCTGCCTGGGGCCTCTGCCCTGCGCCCACCATCTCCTGCCTACTTTCTGTACAGTGGCCATCGGGTTTTCCGGTGTGTGAAGGTCCCGCACACCCTCTGCTCCCTGCAGTGAAACGTCTCTAGTCCGTGGGACCTTGTGTTCCTTCCCCACGACTCCTCGTGCTGCTCATTAGTCCTCGATTTGGTGATTTTTTGATTAATAAGTCCCTCCCCAACCGGCCTGCAGGATCCACCTCAGGAGGGACATGTTTGTCTCATTTGGCTCCTAGAACAGGGTCTGGCAGGCGCAGGGGCGGTGAAGGGCCCTGGGTCCCTCCCGGGGGGATGGGGGCGGGGGAACAGCCCGGGCCACACGGTCTCTGTGTGCTTCTGGGCAAGCCCCTTTTCTCTCCCTGAGAAATGGCATCGGTGTGCCTTTCGAGTCCCGCCAAGGGGCAGCACGGCTTCACTGGCAGGCCAGCTGGTTCTGGGGTCCCCCAGGAGCTGCTTACTGCAGAGGCTCGATGAGCGTACAGGGTCCTGCAGCAGGCAGGTGCTCCTCTTGTGTTCGTCCTTGGTCTTTGCCCTTCGGGGTCTGGGCTCAGGGACAGCCTCTCGGCCGGATGTCTGCCTTCCGCAGCGAAAGCACACCCCTAACACCCCAGCTCACTCCCGCGGGCCTCCCCCAGTAAGCCAGGAGCCAGCTCCAGTACTCCCCCCTCCACACTTGCTCTGGGCTTCCTCCCCTTATTTCCACAGTCCTGGAGGGGGAAGCATTTTGAGCTCACTCCACAGCCGCAGATGCTGAGGCCCTGACCGAGGCGGTGGGTTATCACGCCACCAGGCTGCAAACGCTGGAGCTGGGGGTAGGGCCAGGCTGTGTAGACAGCATCACGCCCCCAGCACTCTTACTATTCTTCTACCCAAAGACAGGGTCCCCTGCTCTCCTGCTACCCACGCTGGGGAACCCAGAACTTTCTCAGAGCCCCTCTGCAGAACCCAGCAGACCCATGTTCCTGCCTATCTTCATAAGCACGGGTCTGTGGGCGGCCCCGGAGTCTGGCTGGGCTGCTGACCGCCTGCTTCCTGTCTTCACAGCAGGGCCCCTGGTGTGGACTCCTTGGAGAAAGGAGAGAAAGGGCCTGGGAGGCTGGCTTGGGTAGGGGGAGCTGCAGGTACCGTATCTGTGCCGTCAGCCAGCTCCCTGTGGCCCCAGCAAAGAGCAGCGAAGATGCAGGAGTGGATGGGCCTGGGGCAGTGATGTATGTGTGCACACAGTGTGTGTGTGTGTGTGCCTGTGCGTATCTGTGTAGGTACGTAGCCAGGTCTCTAGGCTTACCTCCTCCCATCCCCTTTACACAGCTGTCAGAGAATTTTCTAGCACTTACGTCAGCCCTCATCACTCCCCTGCTCAGAATCTCTGGGGCTGCCCACGGCCTCGGAACAAAGCCACGAGTCCCTCCTCAGCCACCCTACCTACTCACAGGGCAGCCGTCGCCCCTGCCAGGCCACCAGCAGCACCTCCCAGGCCATGGCCCCTGCCCCCATACCCCGCACACCTGCCCTCCACAGTCCCCACCCTCACTCACCCTGGGGCATAGGGAGCCTTGGGCTCGGCCTTGATGGGAGGCCCAGAGCCCCCCAGGAAGGGCTTGGGAGCACTGGCCATAGCATTGTTGTTGCAGTTGAGCGCGGCGCTGTAGCTCGGGGCGGGGAGGGAGCCGTGGCGCCCCGGGGAGGGTCCGCCCCCAGGGGGACTCAGGTGGTGGCCCCCGCTGGAGCCCGGGATCGCTGGCGGCCCGTGGGGGTAGGAGGCTGCACTGGCTGGAGCCGAGATGTCAGGGAAGCAGCTGTGGAGAAAGGAAGCAGCTCAGCGCCAGCCAGGACCCCAGCCCCTCCCCAGGCCCCCACCTGCCGGGGCAGCGTGGAGTCAGCGGATGGGAAGAGACGGGGGAGCAGCTTGCAGACTGGGGCTGCAGCACACCTCCCAGGTGAAAGGTAGAGGCCAGGGGCGTGGGGGCGAGGCCACTCACAGGTCAGAGGCGTCCTCCTTGCTGATGTACTCCTCCAGGATGCTCGTGTCTATGTTGGAGGGCTCCAGGGCACCGTTGATGTCGTGGCCTGCAGGGGAGGGGCAGATGTGAGCTACCCCTAGGCCTCTGGGCCCTGCCCTGCAGCTCTCCCCAGGCCGGGCCCTCCAAAACATATGCCCCCAGGCTCCTCCCCATCTGCGTATCCGTGTCCTGGGAGAGTCCTTCAGTGTCCATCACCTGACGCCCCTCCAGGGGGCATCACACTGATGATGCTTCCCTCGCCTGCCAGCCTGCCCGGAGTCTCTGAGGAGGGGAGGAGCCCAGAGTGCAGATCGGGGACAGACAAGCCATTTCCTGTGACATGAGCAAGTCCTTCCTCTTGTCTGCAAAATGGGGTCATCGTTCCAAAGCCTTACGGGGGGCTGGGAAGAGTAACTGAGGTACTTTACTGAACTGAGTGCCCAGTGGATGCCCACCACCCTTGAATGCTGGACCCAGACTTGATGACTCTGTCCTGCGCTGCCTCCCTCCAGACGGCCCAGCTGCTGGGCACCCAGGAACACGATGCCGGGCTGGGCTGGAATCACACGTCCTGGGGTGGTGGGGCCGTGCAGCCAGGGGAGCCTCCTGCACCCCAGGCCCCAGCTGCAGATGGAGAGGGAGTGGGGAATGGAATCAGAAGCGCCCGGCTCAGCCTGCTGCATAGCTCGTCGCCCCCATAACGGGGGCTGGGGTGCCCATCCCTGGTGTTCCAGAGAAGGAAACGGGCCCAGAGAGGTAAGGGCTTGCCTGGCCTCACAGCAGGGAATGATGGCGGCCTGAGGTCTGCTCCTCCACCACCCTCTCCTGGGCCCTCCCTGCTGGCCCCAGCCCCACAAAGGGGAGGGGCTCACAAAAAAGGAGCCCAGTGCTCTTGGGCATAAGCAGGGGAGGAGAGGGGGAGGCGCTGGCCCTTCCCCTCCCAGGGTCACCTTGCAGGGGGGAGCGGGAGAGCGGGGTGATAAGGGGGCTGACGCAGGAGATGCGTCAGCCCCGATAATGGAGGACGGCCCTACCCGCACTGCTGACCTGGGCTGACCAGCCCCACTGAGGCAGGAGGTACCCCTCCCACAGGCCCCTGGAGCCGTGAGCCTGGGGTCTGCACCTCATGCCTTCTCCCGGGCGAGCCCTGGGAACAGCTCAGGAAGATCCAGGAACAAATCCTGCCTTGCCTACTGCCCGCTGTGTGACCTTGAGCGAGTCACATACCCTCTCTGAGCCTCAGTCTCCTCATTAGTAAAATGGGGACGTGAACAGCTAACACTTTGCAGGGTTGACTATGAAACAAGTTAAGGTACGTAAGGCGCCCCGCATATAACGGGTGCTCAGCAAACAGAGTGGATGTCCTCACTTCACAGACCCAGAGCCCTGGGGTCCCCAGGAGCCCCTGGCCCAGGCCCCTCCCTGGCCCCAGCCGGCATTTCAAGAATGCTGAGCCCCGCTTAGGTGATTAATGAGTGGCTAAGCCCTCCTAGGAGTCACGCGCTGCCTGGGACAGGCCCTCCTGCTGGCCCCCACCCCTGGCTCACCCAGCCGGGAACCAGGGACACCCACCGAGCACTGCCAGTGGCCATGCAGGGCCCAGTGTGGCCAGGACGAGAGAAGCTTCTCAAACTGGGAATGACCAGCCTGCACATCAAGGTTCTAGGATTCCCGTCTATGCCCTGGCCCCCACCCCATCCTTCCCTGTTACCCAAAGATCCCATTTATTGAATGCCTACTGTATGCCAGGCACTCTGGGAGCCGAAGACGTTAACAATCATAGGAGTTTGTTATACACAAGGCATCCCGCGGGTTCTGCACGTGCAGTGTGACACTTAACCCTAGTCGGGAATGGTGGTAACAAGAGGACAATGGTAGGGGCGGCAGCTCCGGCGGACCGAGCGCCTGCCTACCAGGCCCCGCCGCTATTCTCAGGGCTTTACAGGAGGATCGCCCAATTATTAGCATCGTCCCCCTTATTCAGAGAGGTTAAGTCTCTTGCCCAAGGCAACACAGCAAGGGCGATTCAAACCCGGGCACAGGGGCCTGACTCCAAGGGGGAAGGTGTGCTTGGTGGTGGATGAGACTTCCTGGCCATTCTGGGCTGCCCCACCTTATGGGCCGGCAGGGGGGAGGGGGGCTTCCTCAGGGGGTAGGGAGGGAGGGAGCACTGGAGCATTACCCCCCCACCCCCCCACCCCCCGCCCTGGCTGCTGATGTTGCAGGTTTTTGAGACTGAACTTGGAATCTACAGTGAATGATGGGGTGATGGAGTCATGGTGTTGCTATTTATAATAGGCCAGGCCCCCTCCTCCCCTCTTCCCCTCCTCCCCCTCCTCTGGCCAGGAGCACTCCTAATCACCCCTAATCCTCCTGCCCACCTCCCTTGGGATAGGGGGGCCTCAGGCTGAGGCATCCTGGGAGACCCTAACGAGAACCAGATGTGGTTGAGGGGAGGAGAGACCCTCCCGTGCCAGGGGCCGGGAGGACGGGAGGACAGAGGAGGGAGGAGGGAACCACTGGGGCGGGGTGGGGGAGAAATCAAAGGTTTGGGGAGTTGGTGGGCCTCCTGAGGAACCCTGAGCCCACATCTTCTCCTTCTCTGGGACCCCACAAGGCCTGCCTGACGTTCTCCCCACACGGCTCAGCCGAAAGTGTCCAGCCACCAGGCAAATGCCACCAGACTGCCCCAGAAATCATACTGGAAACTTCTAATCAAACATTCGGGAGGGCAGGGTGGGGGTGGGGGCTTGCCAGAGCGCAGAGATTCCTGAGGCTGGGGCAGAGCCCCCAGGAACCCTGGAGGAAGGCATCAGCACATTTTGGGGGGCCCCTCTCCCCAACTGTTCCCAGAAAGAGCTCTGGAACATCCTTGAGCCAACAACAGATACCGGCCAGGCAGGAAGCTAAACGTGTCTCCTGCTGAGCCTCAAGATCTCCCTGGGAGTTGGGGAGGCTGCCCAAGGTCCCACAGTCAGAAAGTGGCACCACCAGTAACCCCGCTTGCCCCCTCCTCAAACCCTTCCACAACTTCCCACTGCTGAGGATAACCAGAGCCCTCCTGGAGGTCCACAGTGGTCCCCCTACCTGCCTCCTCCAGCCTCCTCTCCTAACCAGTTCCCCCCCCCGCACCTCTCTCGGTCCTAGGGCCCTCGCACATGCTGTTCCCTCTGCTGGAGGAAGCCCATTCCCATTCACCGGGCTTACGTGTAAGTTTCTCCAAGACGCGCCCTCTGACTCCCATTCCCGTGACTGGCAGCCTCCTTTCTCATCCAGCTCCTTACTCGGCTGCCCAGCACAGCCCTCACAGGTGGGCGGAGGGTCTGTCCCCTGCCCACCCACTGCCCATAGCTCACTCACCGAGTGGTCACCCTGTGCCCACACTCTATATGGCTCACATTTAACTCCCATAACAACCCTACAGGAGAGGTGGTTTCCTTGTTCTCCGTTTTACAGATGAGGAAGCAGGCTCAGAAAGGATAAATGCCTTGCCCAAAGTTTACAGGTGTGGGACCCGGGATATGAGCCCGGCCCTGTTCTGCCTCTCTGGGATATAAGCATCTAAGCATACAGTAGGCACACAATTAATGTTCATGGAATGAATGAGCAAAGTGGCATGCAGGACACTAGAACCAGGCCTGCCTGGGTCTGGGGACCTCCACCCGGTCGTGTTATGGTCAGGGTCCAGGGCTAGACAGGGCCCCTCCAGGTACCGCCTCTGCCCTGCCGAGCTACGCGCCCCAGCTGCTCCTCATTAATTAGGACCTTTATTACCTGCTTCTAACAGGAGCCAGACACTGCCCTGCCCCCTGGCAGGCTGGGATAGGGGCTATGGGGAGGAAGCCCCCTCCTCTCTTCTCTCCTCCTCGCTTTAAGGCCACCCAGCTGGGCAGAAGAAGAACCGAGGGGATACGAGCCAGGTGCAGGATGAGGGCGGGTGGGGGCCCAGGTGGTCCTCCACCCTGGACCCCTCCCTTCCCCCTCCTCATGCTCATGACCACCCCCCGACCAGCTGTGGCCGCTGGCTGAGTCTGAGCCATTGTCCCAGGGAACGGGGGGAGGGTGGGGACACGGCACAGTGGGAGGCTTGTGCCCTGCCCACACCTCCCCCCCACCCGTCAATGGGGCACTTGTCAATTCATGTCCCAAACATGGCGGAAATCCCGTCGGCCACGTGGCTGTGGGCAGGGGAGGCCAGGGCCTAAGGATGCTGGCCAGGCCTAGCTGATCAGAGCCCGGGGCTGACAGGGCCCAAGCCTGTTCCCCGCATTCTGCCCCGAGTGTCCACCCCAGGCGTCTGAATCTGAGGGCACCCCGGCTCCAGGCCATGGCTGGGAGCCAGGATGGTAGGGGTTCAGGGGACTGCCCACCCTAGCACCCCCATGATGCCCTCAGGGACTCCTAGGGTCAAAGAGGCCTAGCAGCTAATGTGGGCCCCCCTTCAATGCTATGCCACCCTTGGCAAGTGACCTGCCCTCCCTGCGCCTCCGCTTCCTTCTCTGTCGAGGGAAGCAGGGATCCCTGCATCACGGAGTGGTCCCGAGACTTCAACAAGAGGGTAGGAAAGCTCCTCACTCCCCAGAGGCCATTCCTCAAATAACATTCATCGCTGTTTCCTTCTCTCTTGGGGCTCCCCTCTCCTCTCCTGCCCAGGCTCTGCCCCTCTCGCCCATGCCTCTCCACCTGTTGCGAATCTGCTCCAGAAAGCCTCTGAGGGGGCCTCCGACCTTCTCCCAAGTCCCTCTGACACATGACCGGTACCATACTGTTATTCTGGCACGTACACAGCGGAGTCCAGCCTCCAGGCCTTGGCTATAGCCCCCCCACCCACTACCCCGGTGGGTAAGCCTGTGACTGCCTCCCTGCTCTGGAAGCCCCTCCTCGATCTCCTCCATCACAGCGGGCCCCCAGTGCTGTCACTTCTTTCCTAACATGGCCTGAGCTAATCGACGTGCTCCAAACTAGTTCACTCTGGGACAGGGCACAGTAGGCTCTCACCTCCTTCGGCTCGAACTTTCCATCTTTATTAATACGATCTGTGATTAATGTAATAACTGCTAGCGGTCCCCACTTCAGGCTTCAACCTGTGACCAGACCTTCTCACTCAAAATGCCTTCCGGTCAGACGCTTGATTTTGCAAGCTATCCTTTGCATCTCTGCATCAAGTCTCCAGTTAGCTGGGGGCTGAATGACAAGGATATGGCTCCTAGGTCACTGCCATCAGGCCCTTAAATCTGAGCCATGGTTGCCTTTATTTGCCAAAAATGCAAAAGAACCCCCATCTCCTCCAGGGGACCTGGAATCTTTGGCCACCCCTGAGCTGTAGCTATGTCCCCCCCGCCCCAGACCCCGCACAGCTACCACCCCGTCCTCGGGTCGACACAGGCTGAAGTCAGAGCCCCAAGAGGCTCCCAAGCCAGGTCCAACAGAACTGAGCCCAGAAGCTGCAACGTGTTCTGTGGGGAACCCACACTAGTCCCCAGGGATCTTCAGTTTGCTCTGGGGGGCCCCCCGCCCTGATGCTACAGGGCCAAGTGAGCTCCTCCCCGACGGCCCCATCTCCGTCATACAGGGACCAAGCCTTCCAGGCAGGCTGGGGAAGGCCCTCCCCACAGGGGCAGAGTACAGACCCCGCAGCTTGGGGTGGGGGCGGGTCTCTACCAGGGTTACCCATGTCTATCTGTATTCACACACCAGCATGTCCCCCCAGCACACACACACGTGTGTACACAAGGGCACACTCCCACTGACAAACACACGCTCGTGTACGTACACGTACACACACACACACACAGTGGCATCCCCTTCCCACGCGGACACACACACGTGTGCTCATTCATTCAAACAATTACTGAGCGTATGCCATGCGTCAGGCACAACGCTTGGCTCTGGAGCTGTAGTAATGAACAAAACAAAACCTCCTGCCCACGAGGAGCTGACCTTCTGGAGGCAGAGTCAGATGACAAGATAGAGGAGTAAAAATCCATAGCATTTCAGAAGGTAACAAAGGCTACGGGGAAAATAAAGCAGAGAGAGGGGCGGGGGTGGCAGGAGAGTCAGGACGAGTTGCCGTTTTAAATAGGACAGTCAGGGAGGGCCTCACTGAGACGAGATGGGAAGGTGGTGAGCCACAGGGATATCTGGGAAGAGCATTCCAGGCAGCGGGGAGCCAGTGCAAAGGCCCTGAGGCACGAGCATGCCTGTGCTTCTTCCCATGTCGGCACCCCGCCCAGACTCGAACGCTCGGTGCACACAAATGCTCACTGACCCAACGGCAGGCCCAGGCCAACAGCCCTCCCGATCGGGTCTGGCTGGAGCCAGATCCAAAAGAGCCAAGACAGTGCCGCAGAACCCCGGCTACCCCTACCCCAGGCCGCAGACCCCACAGGGGAAAACCACAGAGGGAGAAGAGAGCTCAGGGACTGAGATGGTGAAGAGGACAGCGAGGGAGGGCCCCGAGGGAGGAAGGGGCCCGAAACTCCAGAGAGGGACAGAGGCTGTGGTTGTCCCATCTGAGAGCTGGAGGGACCCAGGTCGGAGGCAGGCAGCGCTTTCTCACTGATGCAGCCTGGAGACAGGCAGAGGACGGGATGCCCTGGGGACTCCATAGGCCAGGCCAGTGGAGCCTCTGGACCCAGCTGCCCGCCCCCCACCAAGCCAGGCTTTTCTCCTTCCCTCCCCTCCCCCTCCAGGCCTTGGCACTCCAGGGGTCTCACTGCTCACATCACGCGGCACACAGCCTTGAGCCTCTGAGGGAGGGCTCTGAGACCCAGAGAGGTCAAGGGGCTGAATGGAAGTCACCCAGCCCAGCCATCCGTGGTGGCTCGGGACCCTCAGCACTCGAGGGGCCCCCTCCCTGCCCCACTCTAGGCTGGCACCCAACTGTGACAGGGGCCCCAGGGGCCCACTGCGGCCCTGCTGTGGCAGCCCTGAGTGAGGTGGACACATCACCTTCCTCTCCTGCCTCAGCACCGCCCTCTTGGAAATGAGACACCCCTATACTTGCACAGAGCCCCGGGACTCCCAGGAGGCAACTTAGGCAAAAACGCTCTGGCCTGGGTGCGGCAGGCAAAGACAAAGGACAGGCAGCCCCTTCCCCCTGCCACCAGCCCCCCCACCCAGGCCCAAGTTCCCCATCCCTGAGGGGCAGGGTGGGGCCCCAGCTGGAGGCAGCAGGAACCGGGAGCAGGCATCAGGACCCCGCGGGGGGCCAGCCCTCCAGGATGCTGGGTCCCTGCCTGCAGAGTGCATCCCATAAAGCTGCGGGGTACCCCCATCCTTGGCATAAGCAGCCCAGAGAGGGTGAGGGGCTTTCCCAAAGCACACAGCGCTGGCCACAGGCCCCAGCCCAAGGTGGGGCACTGACCTACCCCGTGGATCAATACATCCTCGAAGTGGGGGGCATAATACCTGCCCTGAGCCAGGTGAACGAGGCTGTGCAAGCCCCGTGGGACAATAATCACCGTCCAGGCTGACGTTTCTGGGGCGTTACCGCACCCGGCACTGTACCAGGCCTCAGAACACCCAGTTTACCCAATCCCCGCAGAAACCCTGAGAACTGGGTCCTGGGGCTGCAACTGTATTCCCATTTTAAGGATGAGAATGTGGAGGCACAAAGAAGTGCAGAGATCTGCCCAGGAGAGGGACCGTGGGCAGGCAGCCGGACTCACGCTCTGGGGAGTGCATAAGGCCATGACATATCCGACACCTGCCCCCCAACCCAGGGGCTACCCGTACCCAGTGGCAGCAGGGGCTGAAGACTTTCATAGGGGAGAGGAGCCCCCCCCCCAATACACACAGCCAGGCTGTGAGGGAAACTGAGGGCCAAGACAGGGGGCCATGAGGAGGAAGACGGCGGGTAGGAAGGGCAGACAGCCTGGGTAGGGCAGGGCCACCCCGCCCCCGTTAATGATCCAGTTAATGATTTCTGCTCCCCTTCTTATCAGAGGGCAAAGTCCAAGGGTAGCAGCCAATCAGCAGCCTTGCTGGGCTGTTTGTTACCCAGCAGCCTCAGCTGCCAGGGCCCCCCCAGTCCTATAAGCCCTTGAGAGTTAGAGAGTGGGGGCCAGGTCCCCAGGAGGAGGCCATTCTGCCCAGAGCGACCTACTTGTCTTTCCCCCAAACACCCTGCTTGGCCCTGCCTAAGACCCCAAGGGGCCCTCTGCCAAGGCCCCCAGACTCAGGAGAGGCCCTGAGGCAAGCAGGTGGGAGACAGCCTTCTCCTCCCCAGCCCCGCCCCCCACCCCCTGCACTAACCCCAGGCCCTCCCAGAGAGATGACTTCCTCGGGTGCACCCCCCCACCCCACCTTTGTTCACATAGCCATTGTTGCCTCCAATGACCCTGAGAATGTTTCCTGCCCCCACCCCAGCCCCACGCCACCCTGTGCCCTGTGCTGGGTGTTGGGAACATGGGGATGAGTCAGACCCTGCACTACTATTTCCCCTCCAGCTGGACTCAGGACCTGGGGAGGAAGGGCTGGGACAGCACTCCTCCAGAAGGCACCCCATCTCATCTTCTCGACAGTCAGGGGTCCAGCTGCCTCCCCCATCCACCCTTCCACCATCCTTGGTGCGCCATAGACAGGTAGACAGGCTGACATGGGGCACAGGGCCACGCGACCACACACCCCAACTCAGCCCCAGACTCCTGTCCCAGGTGGGCATCCTCTCCCCAAAATCATCAGGTGGCCTCCCCCTGCGGCCTTCTCCTGCCCTCTGGAGGCAGACAGGCTGGTCCCCACCGGAAGGCCACCCTTCCTCCCCCAAGGCCCTGGTGGCGGAGGAAAGAGCTGGGGGCTTGGCAGCTCTGGCTAATGCTGGCTAAGTCCCTTCTCTCGGAGTCTTGGCCCCTGGAAAAGGGGGCCAGTGCCGGCCCCTACCTCAAGTGGCTTTCAAATCAGGATCCCGGTGCTCTGGGGGCTGTGGGGAGCCCCGCCGCCCCCACCCCCTGCCATGAGTTTGCCTTTCTTTGGTGCCTAAAAAGAACCTCACTGGAAGCCCCTGGTCTGGTCCAATCCACCTGCCTACCCCAGGAGGGGAAATGAGGCCAAAGAAGGGAAGTCGCCGGCCCAAGCCACCCATCAGGTCTGTAAGGAGTAAACGCCCTGGTGGGGCTCTAGAGGCCACGTGGAGGTCCCCCCACCTCTCAGTGGCCTTTTCAGCACCTGCTGGAAGCCCAGGTCCCCTAGGTCTCCAAGGCTTCCTCCCCAGCACCTGCTTTCTTTGGGGAGGAGGTGGGCACTGCTCGCCCAAGCCCCAGGTGCCCCTGGAACCAGGGGTCAGCACCCTCCACCTTCAGTGCTCTAAAACGGCCCTCCTGCCAAGGGCTGGGAGACGAGGCTCATCAGATCTGAAGGCGTCAGTAAGACCTCTGCCACCCCTTCCTGTCTTGCAGGTAAGGAAAAGGGGTCCAGAAAGGGTGAGAGCTCAGCACAGGGTCACAAAAGTCTCAGCGGCAGGGTCCGAGCCTGTACCAGAACCTCTAAGGCTCTGTCGGACCCCCCTGATGTCCTCTCGCCCCCGTCCCTGACCAGGCTCTGGGAATCCAAGGTCCCAGCCAACCAAGATGCTGAGGAGTATACCTGCCACCACGACCCTGTTACCTGCCGGGAGCCAGGGCATCCTGCCTGGAGGGTCCCCTCTCTGCAGGCCCTGTGCCCGCCGATCCAGGCGGCCGGAGCCTCCTTCTAGGGGATTAGCAGGGCGGTCACGGGGGCCCGGCTGTACCAGCCTCGAGGGGGCCGCCCCGTCCCAGCCTCCCACCCGAGGCCCAAAGCGCCTTAGCCCCGAGCCCACCACCCTGGGGTGGGGCACAGCCTGGCCCACTGCACAGGGCAGGACCCAGGACATAGGCAGGGTGTTCCTAGAGAGTGGGCCATGGCAGACAAGGGGTCTCGATCCGCCCCTGCCCTTCAGCAAAGGCTTTTTCCATCTCCGGCCCAGAGCTGAAAGCACGGACCCTGCCCATGTCCCCACTGTCCACAGGGAGTGAACAAGGCCACGTGAGGACCAGACTAAGAACTCAGGTTCCAGCCCCAAGTGCGAGAGTTCAGGAACAACATAGCCACGTGCACAACACTCACTTGCTTTCACACTTGCACTCATGCGCACACTGAGGCCTGGCCCTGAGGTCTCCCCCACACCATTGCATACCCGCTCCCCGCCAGGGTCCCCCCTCCCAAGTGGCCCCCCCCCCGAGACTCCTGGCCCTCAGCACCGGCGCACCTTCCCGCTCATCTCAGGCTCTGGGAACACTTCTCCAGTCCCTGGCTCCCTCCACCCGCCTCAGCGGGCAGCGCCCCCCCCCCACTCCCCACAGACATTCTTGAGTCTCCTCTTATCTCTCTGGAGGGAGCAGCACAGCCTCCCCGCCAGGCCAACCGCATGGCTGAGCTGTGGCGTCAGCCCCCACCCCCCACCCACGGCCAGGAGGGAAAGTTTGGCTCAGGAGATGGGGAGCCTGAGCGGGCCAGGCTCACCGCTCTGCCTGGGGTGCAGGGTCCTGGGGGAGGACGCATGGGGACATCTGCAGGAAGCAAGGGGGCCTGGCCCATGGCCGTCCTTGGTATCTAGTGGGCTCAGGGCACCCCCAAAACAGTACCCTTTCCCTCCTCCCCAGGGGCCCCCAGCCCCCATAAGGCCCCTTGAGGGTTCATAAAGGATGAACAGGTCTAGGGAGAACCACAGCCCCTGGGACTAATGGGGGGACTGCCTAGGACCCTCAAATGGCCCAACTACCTCAGGATCAACCATTTAATCTAGTCCAAGCCTGATTTCTTGGGGCCTGGGTCTGCTGGGGTGTCCAGAATCCTGAAGTGAGGAGGCCTGAGGCTGGGAGATACCCTTACCTAGGCAGCAAGCAGGAGTGGACAAAGGCTGCCCCCGCCCCCCACCCCAAGTCACAGAAACAGACACTGAGGCAAAGGAAGGCCTTCCTCTCTCCCTCCTGGACTCCAAAGGTATCTGGGTGCTAGGCTTGAAACTTGGGCCATGATCCACCACCCTGTAGCCCAACAGCCCCAGCACAGTGGTGCCCCGCGGACCGCCCCATCCCTAGGGGCAGGTTCACGCTGAGGAGTAGTAGGCTGTGGGCTTAGCGGCTGGGGAGAGAGGGTGGGGACAGAGGCTTGACTACCCAGGTTGGTGGAGAGGAGCACAGGAGGGGCCAGAGGGGCTGGCGAGATGTTCCAGTGAGGGTCTGAGAAGCCAAATGGGCTGGGAGATGTCAGCCTGCACCTCTGCCCCCCCTTCCCACACTCTTTCCCATTCCTCCAGCGTCCAGCACCCTGGAGGAGGGGGAAAGACCTGGAGGAGGGGCAGAGGCTACCCAGGAAAAGGGGAGGGCGGTCTGGGTAGATATAGGAGCTGACCTCCAAAACCACAGAGGGTGTGTTGGGGGGTGGGGGGCAGCGGTAGAAGAAAACATTGTAGATTGTGTGTAGATGTCTAGATCCCCACGCTGGGAAGGGTCCTCTCAGGATTGAGGTGAGGGGGGTGAGGTCACTCCAGGGGTCGGGGGCAACAATCAGAGGAGGCAGAGCTCCAGGGACAGGTGTGGGTGGAACAGCCCCGAGGAGCCTCCGAGGGCTGGCAGGATGCAGTTCACCACTTTGGGAGGGTCTCAGAGTGCGGAGGTGGCTGGCAGCAGGGATGCCGACTTCGAGAAGGTTCTAGCCCAGGGAAAGCCTTTCAGGGTGGGGGGGAATCCAGCCCATGGAGGAATGCTGGGGAGGGGTTCCAAGCCCTGAGTAAGGGAGGGGTAGCTGCTTCGAGGGGAATTTCAGCCTTGGGGGAGGAGCAGATTTGCAGAAAGTGGGTGACAGTATTGAAGGGGGTCCTAGTCTCAGAGAAGCACAATGGGGAGGTCTCAGCTCCTAGGAGTCAGGCTGGGGGTAGGGTGTCCACCTGAAAAGGACACAGGGGCCTGAGTCTCTAGGCAGGGGGCCCGACCTCTGGAAGGCATGCTGGAGGGCTGGGGTGCCAGCCTAAGAGGCATGGAAGATCCTAGAAGGCATGCTGGGGTCCAGGCCTCAAAGGGGGTCCGGAAGTCTGGGTCTGTATGAGGTTCCAGGGAAGCACAGCGGAGGGTCCCCAAACTCGGGAAGTGCACTAGGGGTGGGAGGTGTCAGACTTTAGAGGGGACTGCAGGTCCTGGAAGGCATGAAGGAGGACCAAGCCTGGGAGGGGACACAGCTCCAAGAAAGTTGTGTGCTGGGGGGACCGGGAGGGGGTGCCCAACTTTGGTAGAGGTGGGCAGTAACCTCCAGGAGACTCCCAGCCCTGGGAGCCAGCCCGGAGGGCCCCCCCTCCCCGCCCCGCCGCCCAGAGGAAGCATTCTGGGGAGTCCCAGCGTGGTCGAAGCAGAGTTGGGGATCCCGGTGTCCGGGGAGATCGGCTGGGGGTTCCCAGCACGAAGGGGGGTCCCCGCCCTTCCCCCCCCATCGCCCCCCCCCCCCGCCGGCGCCCCGCTCCCGGCCGGCCCGCGGTCCCTCACCTTCGAAGAAGCGCTGCAGCGCCTCCGTCTCGTCCACCACCTCCATGTCCGGCCTGCCCGGCGCGCGCTCCGCCGCGGCCCCGCTACAGCCCGGCCCGGGGGCGCGGCATCGCCGGCGCGGCCCGCGCGACAGTCCCGGCACGGCTCCCGCTACGGTCCCGCCCGGCCCGCCGGCGCGCTCGCCCCTC